CGAGGTTTCTGGGGTTTGCCACTTTTGCGTAGTTAATTGAGACATTATTTCACCCAGATTGGGTTCAAGTGCGCTAGTTTTAGGTTTCGTGCAATGATAATTGCCCCGTTGCCAACTGCAATAAAAATCATGACTAAATCATTTGTTGGAATAGTATCCTAATTGAATGTTTTATTTACATATAAAAATATTTTAATAATTTGCAAGGAGAATGAATCACCAAATAATACCTTCAAGATATTGAAAAATGTAACTGATGAAATAAATTTTGAATTCTGACTTCAAGTATTTAAAGCAAAAATTTTAACATCATTTTCTTTATTCTCTGTTTTTTGATATCTGTGCAGTTTATAATTAAAAATTAAGCGGAAGGTCATTTGCAAAGGAATTTTCATTGAGAATCAATGCAAAGTCGCTACACAAGCCTAAATAGCTGCGTCTCAGAACATCCTTCACGGAGAAGACATTTTCCTCCCTTTTCTTTACAATTTGCATAATAAAAAAAGTAATTCAACAAATAATCCTGCAGCATGTTAAAATAATGACACTCTGGACACACACAGAGTTGGCCTTAAGTGCCACGACAAGTGCAGAGCCTCCTTAAATTCTCCACGGAGGCGGAAAAATGCACACGCAATAAGGAGATAAGCCGACCGGAGTAATAATTTCCATCTCAAGTATTAAAGGAGTGCGCGCTGCGCGTGTTAATTTGAAATGCGGATTTCCAATTATTATATCCAGCTCTAAAAGAATACGTGCAGGCACGAGAGGATTTAAAAGATTTTGCATTTGCTTGTTGCTGGCGAGTCAAAGTGGAGGAATTCGCAGAAATTATATGTCCCTTTATGGTGTCCAAGGAGAGGCGTCGAGCTACGGTAATTAAGATAATTATTGTCAATAACTTTGCTGTCAATGACTCGAACTTGCTTTTTCTGGTCATGACTGAAGAGAACAATGTTATACAATCATCATTATTTAAGCTTTCAAACTTTCATTTTTTTTACCGTGTAATAAAAACATGAATTTTTCGTCTCTTTCTGATTGATATCTTGCTCGCCTTAGAATATAATACGATGGTGCTGGCCGCAGCGATTGCGACTTCGAGTGAACGTGATTTCCTTTGTCACTCTGGAGGAAGTGGGTTCGTGGGTGCGTGAGATGGCATTCGAGTTGGACACGTCTCTGGACGGTCACTTTCCCTCTGACCTGCCGCGACTCCCAGGAAATTAATTGCTTGCGCGAATTGGCTCTAAACCTAAAAATGCTACTTGCGAAACCAAAATATCGTTTCTTCCTCTACTTTTGCAATTATAAATATGCCTCACGCGGAAATGTTGAATGCTTAGCAAATTAATTATTTATTTTTACTGCAAAATGATAAAAAAAAAAATATTCAAAACTGTATAATTTGGAATACAAATAAATCATTCATTTAATATGAATGATTAAATTTTTTGATAAAAATTGAAATAAAAGCAATAAAAATATTTTTAAATCATGTTTATGATACAAAATTATTATTAAAAATAATTAAAACTAAAAAAAGCCCATCTAAAGAACAATCTTTCTATAAAAAAGCGTCAATTTTGAATTTTCATAGAATTCTCTTTAACTTTTATCGCTATATTTTTTTAACGTAACTTCGTGTAAAAATTAAATATTTTATCAACAATTTTATTCTAAATTTTTAAAACTAAGGGGTATAATAAATATATAATTAATAAAGGCTACAATCTGAATGAAAAATTAATTCTCTTGGTTCCTCTTCCCTGCATATTGTTAAAAACGTCTAAAGTAAACAACAGTAATCTTCTTTTATGAAATAGAATGAAAGCCGAAAAATGAATGAACGACAGTTGAGTAGAGGCGCGTTATTGGCGACCCCAAAAACGACATCCTTATTATTCGACCTGTCATTGTTATTTGTGTGAGAACCGTTTTGTATTTGAACATCTAGATTGGCTTGAATACAAAATAAAATTGCGTTCAGGCTGCATTATTTCCAGTTCATTCATTTTGTATTTTCCATTCTGCTTTTCTCGGAATCACCAGAGAAGCATCGCACATTTTAATGCAAAATATATCCCGTTGTTGTGACTTCCCCACATACCAATTTTCCCAGCTTGAATACGAACTCGGCGTAATTTCATTTGCATTGTTGTGTTGGCTCTCTATATTTTAAGCAGCTTGGGAGGAAAAGAAATAAAAATAAAAAGCGACAGGGCGAGGAGTTCTTTCTCTCTCTGGCCGTGATGATGTCGGCGCCGGTCGTGAGCACGGCCAGGACCAGAAAAGCAATTTCAGTCTCGCGTCTGCAGTGCAAAATAAAACGCGCTATAGCAATCACTCGCCGTCGTCGCAGACGCCGCCGTGATAAAGGAGGCAGGCGACTGACCCCGCAGCTTCCAACAGAGTGCGGTGCTCAAACAATGGAATAATGGCCTGCAAAGGAAGAAGACGACGTATCACGACCACCATTACAATTTTTCATTTTGCTGCACCTGTTATGCATCAACCACTAAAAACTTTTCACTTTCGATGTCAACGATCCCTTTTACTGCTTAACGTGTTTTTAAAAATTATGCTGTTTGGGAGCACAATATAATATTTTGAGAATGACGTGCAATTTAGAGATTCACTCTTTTCGAGAGTGTTCTAAATGAATTAAAATTAAAAAAATATTTATAAATTTAAAAAAATAAATAAATAAAAATGCTCAAAGGATGTTTGCAAAAGACTTTTTTTCTAAAAAAGATGAGCTTCAAGGCTCATTAAATTTATTTTACTTATGAAAAAGTAAAACGTCCTGTGTGTAAAGTCTGTCGGAGTGCCGGAATAGGGCCGAAAAGAACAAGGCCGAAAATGGCTGAGCAGAACAGGGCCGAAAAGGAATAGGGCCGAAAAGGAATAGGGCCGAAAAGGAACAAGGCCGAAATACCGGTGCAGACGAAATAGGAAGAACCGGTTTTTTAGGAAATCACCGCGATTACCGTGTTATGTCAACCCACCATCCCTACAAGAAACGGGACGTTTCGGGACACAAAAACTTTTATCGTCGTACTTTTAAGTCAAAGTAAGAATTATCTCAAATATTTAATTTATGGTAGGGAGGAATTTTTTATATTTAATGCAGTTTCATCCTATGGGAATTTTCTAAAATGTATTTTTTCATAAAACTGGCCCGACCAAAATTGATAAAAGTTTCACCAAATCACGTTCAGATCACCCCCAATTAAATAAATTAAATGGAAAAATAAAACCAATAGGTCAGCCGACATAAAAAATTTACATATTGATCTTATGGGAAAAGGTTGAGCAGTATTATATACAGAGTAATTATTATCATATGCTTCTCATTTATAGGAAAATTTTAAGTGAAAAATAGAAAAAACAATGATACCTCGCCATATTTGCCATACATATGAGTGATAAGTTTCCACGACAAATAATTTCTTTTAAGCTCATGGTTTCCGAGTTCCGATGCAGAATGTTTTTTTTAAAGAGATCAATATATCTTTATCTTGCGTTGTGTTGTCCCCCAAATTTCTGTGACTTTGTGATTATGTGTCTCGCCTAAAATGAAGATTTTTTGCCATATTGTCAAATCAATCAGTTTTTAAATTTTCAACTATTTTCCAATGCGAAACGGCCGCATGAAGGATTTTGGTATTGGCGTGCAAATGATTCTCGCTGAGACGCGCTCGCGGTTATCGGTTATTTTTCAGCTTTCGGCCTTGTTCCTTTTCGGCCCTATTCCTTTTCGGCCTTGTTCCGCTCAGCCGTTTTCGGCCTTGTTCTTTTCGGCCCTATTGCGGGACTCCAGTCTGTCTTAGCGTGTTATTTTACAAATTCGATACGTGGAAATAAAATTAAAATTTTGTCATCCAAAATATATGACGCAGTACAGATTATTAAAGACAGCAGCACCTGTAAATGCAAAAATTAAAACTTTCTTCTCTTAAAATAACCAAAATCTCAAAGTTTTTTTGAATGAAATTTTTACAAATTACAGTGAAACAAAATAAAGAAAATATTGAAATTTCGAAAAAAAAAATGTGTAAAATTTGAATGAAGTCTTAAAATTTTCAAAACCTTTATGAAATAGTGAAAAGACCTATAAAAGTAAGTCTCTAGTATTTTGAATCCAAAGATCCAATGTCGGAATGAGTTACGTATATAAATAAAATAAGAAAACAATTCACTAAACTGAATGCCAGCACTCGTCAATTATTTTTTATTTAATTAATTGATCAGCATAATGGCAAGACAATGTGCTGAGAGGGTAAATTTTTATTTTTTATTTAGTTTTTTAAAGTTTTTTTTAAGAACAAATATAACGAATATGGATAAAAAAATTATATAAATGGAAAAATAGAAAGTAAAATATTATAATTTAGTTTATTATTATTTTATAAAGCATCAATTTATTTAAAATAATGTTAAAAAATTTTGTACTTTTTGTTTGCATTTATACTAAAAAAAAAACTTAATAATATCCAATAATATCAGCAAACAATTTTTCTTTTTAGTATTGCATTATTATATTATTTTTGTTTTGTTTTGCATATTTCCTTAGAGAATTAAACATAATAAATTTTAATATTTTCAAATAAAACCATGGAATCAATGAATTATCTGAAATTAATTGATCACTCTTCAGTGCCTGGCATTAAATTTCGATTGCAAATTCATTACAATGACAGATCGCAGCCAATAATAATTACTCACAAGATCGTTGACAGCGCGCTTGCCATTATTTCGCAGTGAGTCCCCCCACGTGTGTGTCTAGGTTCCACCCAATTAAAAAACAAAGCGTATCCACACAATTATGCATTGCCAGTGGCGCCAGCAAATAACATCGAGTGTTGCCAAAATTGCACAGCAGTGATAACGCCGATTACAGAGGCGGCGTGAATGAGCGAAATGAAAGCTATTCCCCCTAATTACCCTTTTCACATGGCGTTAGCTGGGTATCATCAGGTAGGGACCATCAAGGTGGAGGGAAGGCCACATAAGCTGACGCCCTCAGGGAATTGGCTCATTCTACCTCAACACTTCTTTGCGTTTCTTGGAGGACAGGTTTGAAAGAGCTCACTCGCCGGTGCTCAACTCGACTTGCACGCACGGCAGGCAATAACACAGCGCTCATTGCAGAACCTGGTTGCAACCATGAGGCCCACAATTGTTTTGGTAAGATGCTTTTATTATTTTATTCACTTTTTAAATTTCCATAATATTATGCTGATTTTATATTTTAAATATTCATTTTCAAAACCTGCAATCGAAAATCAATCACCAACAAACACAATGAAACAATATTTTTTTGAAATTCAACAAGCGTACGTTTGTTTTAAATTGTAAATTAACTCAACAGTCCACTTTCAACGGATTTAAATTAATTGGCAGTTATAAAAATAAATGTTCAAGATTGATTTGGTCAGTCAGCAACAACAGGTTCTTGGGAAAAGAAGTTTTCGCATCGCCTCTGACAATGCAGTTAATTTTATTTCTTTTTAAGGTCTGCATGTTTTTTTTTATTAAGGAACAGAAAGGGAACTTGAATTTTTCTATAATTACTGATAATCATCTACAATTTTGGGAGTAAGATTTACGAGCGCGGCTTTGGTTTGTTTTTGTTTAACTTTTTCCGGCTCCATTCTCTCAAGTCCACACACTCGCTGTGTATAATGTCATGCTTGGACGCTGATGATCGATGGCGTTAGCAGGCAGGTTACAATTTATATTACATACATATATTTTTTATCATCTGCAGTTAAGTGCTCCACCCTGTAGTGCGTATAAAATCAAATTCAAGGTAGTCCACTCATCAGAATCAGATATTTAAAAAAAAAAAGAGCGCCTCGTCATCAGAGATGATCAAAATTAAGTTTTAGCTAATTTTTTTTTCGGATCTTCGAACAGAAATAGTGAAAGAACGAGTGACAAGGAGCAAGTTTAATTTATGCAAATTATGTTCGCCAAGTTTGAAACACAAGTGATGCAGCTCATTGTCTGTCAGCGCAGAGAGGTGTATACCGTTGTATTTAACAGCGAATTAGCTCATTTCATGGCCACGTCAGGTCATTCAATGGAGAGAGAGAATAAAAGACACGCACACGAGGCAGGTGACACTGCCTTGGTGGAGGCGGAAATGTAAAGAGCTAAAGGAGCTTGTTTATCAGATCAGGAAAATTCGGGTTCTTTTTTCTTTCAATTACACACATATGGGCATCAATAAAATAAACCAGTTTTTAAATTTATTCTTTTTTACTATTTTTTTTAATAGGGATTCAAATTAAAAAATAATTTTACTTAAAAGGTCTGCTTTTTATTGAAATTTTTTTGCACTTTGCGGCAGTAGCACTTGCCAAAGGCACAGCCAATTAATTTTCTGCAGATGCTGCTTTCCGAGAGAGGCATAACAAGTTGTTAAAACGAGCGTGAAAGAATTGCAGCCGAGCTTTTGTATATAATTATATGTATTTTGGTAACGCGGTTTGCTGGGTAGTAACCACAAGAGAGAGCATTACCAGGGTATGTGAAGGACAGAGAAACAGGATTCAAAGTATTTGGTCAGCTGGGAATACGGAGGAAACTTGAATGCTGTATAAATAAAAGAGATAAAACACCGTGCTCTGTCGCGAGAGGACATTTGATTCTTGCACTCTTTCCATTAATATCAAAACATTTGCATCGTAAATTTTTATATATCACGAGTTGACAAGTCGAACGCGAGAAAAGTCACAAACCGCGAATGTGATATGTTTAAAAGATCATTTTCTATCGAACTGATATATATTTTTTTTTCATTCGCGTTTCTATTCCAGACATGCGTGCCCATTCGCGTTAGCCAGAGTGGGACACGACGATGACTTAAAAAATCGCATTACATAAAAACTACACGGTTGGCACTTTGATGAGCGCCCCGCCGGACCTGTGCCAAGAGAAGGTGTACTGGCATTCTGATAAGGAAACTAAATGGAACACGGTTGCATAAGTCGGCCCAGTCTAATATAAAATTGGCCACGAAAGTGTCACAAATCGTGTGTAATCGCTGACTAATGCGCCTCATTTGCCAAAAAGCGCGCGGTCGCACATCATTTCACAACAAAAGTGTTATAAAGCGTTTGATCTGATTAAAAGTATAAATTACTTTACATAAAAGTTGCTCAATATGCAGATGGGAAGACTGCATTTTATTAATTGATAAGCGATCACTCCTGATTTGGTATTGCAAGGAATACCAACTCATATTGATATTATACTGTATGAGAATATTTTTTCACGCTCTGCAAAATAAGTGATAAATTTTTATGACAACCTCGCCTACGAACGGGTTATTGACTGAAGAAAAGTTAATTTAAATTCTCAGCAAGTACATTTTTATTAATGTTGCTTAATTTACGTGATGAAAAATATTGATTCTGCAAACCGATTTGAATTTCATTATTTGGTGTCGCGATTTAGCGTCGTTTCCGCACGAACTTAAATAATTGAATTAAGAGTACCATTAGCATATTTTAACAATGCAAGTGACGCAGGACTCATTTTTCAAAATGTTCTCAGGCAAGTGCCATTGTCGCCGCAGTGCTCATTCTGGATGCAGCGCACGCCAGACCCTCTGCTGAAGTTGCCCTATCTGGCGGATACAGGTGAGATTTGTGGAAATTCCTTCATCACTTCTACATACAGAGCGTAAAACACACAAGTTCATATGCAAATCAGTTTAAAAATAAACTTTTTATTTATAATGCTATGCGCGGATGGTGAGAGAGAATGAATGCTGAGTACTTTTGATGGCTTGAATGGGGCACGAGGTCGCTACTCTTCTAATGACAATCTCGACTCTTTCACGCAAACAACATCTTTAAAAATCATCATATTTATTTTTATCTTTTTAGGAGTCAAACACAAAAATTGGTTGCATGCACAAACACAATTTTTTTATTCAAAATAACTCTGCTTTTAATTTTTTGGGCTTTGGTTTTTTTTAATGGATTGGATTTAATTAAAAGAAAAAAATTATTATTTAAATTAAATTGTTGAAGAAAATTTAAATTAAATTATTATTATTATAATATTATAAAAATAAGAAATTAAGCAGCACAAACAAAATGATGTTGCGACGACTATTGACCGACAACTTAGCACCTGTTTGAGAGATTATGTAGAGCACGCACTTCTTCCACATGACCCGCCGCACAATCCTTAAGTCTAAGGTAAGACTCTCCAAAGGAGGAAAGCGACCTCGACAGATTGAGTGAGATATGCTTCAATGCGCGACAACTGCACCGCACCTCCACCACTTGTCTTCTTATGTTCTTCTTGCTGAAGTTTAAACTCTCTTCCTGTCTTGCAGTTACAACCCTCCGAACGGCTTACGCTTAAACTATCTGCCCCAAAGGCGGTACGACTCTCGCGCCAGGGCAGCCGGAGAGGTCACCATCGAACGCGTACCACTCCGTCTGGTCCATCAGAGCATCGAGCAGCACCACCGCCCACACTTCCACGTCCACCCCAGCGGCCCCGCCCGCCGAGGCCCCTTCAACTTCCCCACCGGACGCCATCACGAACCCTATCAACGCTTCGTCTTCCCTTCGGCCGGAGGATCGCCCTTCCCCAGAAACGACCTCGCCAGGGATCAGTACCAACGTAACGAATACCACCAGTATGCCGAGCAGAAAAATGACTTTTTGAAGGCACCACCACCCTCTGCCCCGTCCACAGGCTACACTTACGACAGGCCGGCTGTCACTCTGACAACCACGGAAGCCGCCCCCGTCACTACCACCACCCCTGAACCAACTACCACGATCCCTGAGCACGAGAAACCACGCATCACCATCGCAATCAGCAAGTCCACTGTGATCCACACTGGCAAGGGCAGCTACCAAATCGATGAGAAAACCGGCAAACCCAAACCGATCATTGCCGAGGCGCACAGTTACGCCGGTTTGCCCGAACCGTCCTCCACCCCCAAAACGGTGGAGGGTGATAACTTGACAGGCGAAGGAACCGGAAACTTCCCTATCATCACCAGGGGCACCCCTCCCAAGAACGAGGAGCCCATCACCGAAAGCGAGGACCCCATTACTGAGAGCGAAGTCGCCACGACGACTGAAAATTCAGACACGACCACCCCTAACCCTGCCAACCCCAGCGACTCCTCTCCCTTTTCAACCTCGTGGCCGCTCACGGGACAGCAGTCATACTCTGTGATCGCCCCTGGACAGGCGCAGTTTGTCTCTTTGGGACACGTCAACCCCGGCGTCGTCGCCTTTTCGCAGAACAACCTTGTGCCCGCCTACATCCAGCCCGAGATCGCGCACCCCACCTACAGAAGCGCCTACCACCCCTTCGCCCCGGCCGCCACCTATTACTACCAGCCGTACCAGCACCTGCTTTCGCCCTTCACCAATTTCATTGAGTACGCGCCCTCGGAAGACCTTTGCAAGGGAAAGGTTATCCCTGAGGCCGCAGCCCCCGCCATCGAGCCCGTAGGCAAATCCGACCTTCCGCCAGCTCCCGTGGCCAAAGAGGGAAGACTAGTCATCACCAAGGGCGGAATCGCCATCGCCGGCCCAGGTGGAATTGCCGACTCCGGCGAGGGCGGCACCTCGATTGTGGGCCCCGGCGGCACCGCTTACTCCAGCCCAAATGGAGTGTCCGTCGTTGGACCTGGAGGAAAAGTGGTCATGCAGGCTGACGGCACGGAGAGGATCCTCGCCAGAGGCCCCATTGTGTATTTCCATCAGGCATAAACGAATGAATTTTAGCCTCGATTATGAAAAGACTTGCTTAGTTATAATATAATTTGATTAGTCCAACGACAACGGCATGAGTGCTTTTTTAAGGCGAGCTCTCTGCTAGAATTTGTTATGTTGGTTGTTAAATTGTTACCGAAATGATGTTTGAATGTTGATTATTTGAACAATTGTATAGTATTTTCATAAGTTACTAATTAAAACACAATCATTTTATCAATTTTACACGTATTTTTGCCGTATCTTATCATCCTAAAATTTTTGAAGACTTAAAATGATAATTATATTTTAAACTTTAATTTTAACTACCAAAATTAAAAATGTTTAATGTTTAAAAAAAAAGTAAGGTGTCTGTTATATTTTCCATTTATTTTCTTATTTAAATCTCGAATTAAGTAACAGGATGTGCAATGCACTTTTATAAAATAAAAGCATTTTGCTTGTGCAGTGATACATGCAGAACTGTCGTAAAGCCTGTTCGCCTTATCAGATCTTAGTCTTCAAAAATTTTAATACCCCATCATCCATTATGAAACATTTTATTATACTGTGCAACAATGCGCCCACATTTTATTATACATTTGTACACATATTTGCATGTTCAAGTCGCTATGATTACCAGCAAAAACTTGCCGAGCATGTTAATGCACATACACAATACAACATCTCCCTGTGATCTTGATAAAGGATGGTTCACATTAATCTTTTTTACGGCAGGCATTTATTTGAGCTTTTAATTTTAACTCACCAGTCAAGCTGGCCGGTCCATTAATCAAAGCGCGCTACACAGTATCCCCGTGCTGAGTTTGCAAAAAAAAAAAATGCAAATATTATTATAATCGCCACTAGCTAGAATAACTGTACTTTTTGTGCTAGCAAAAAAACAACTGACGGATAGAATTTATCATGTGATTTTTTTTCTCTTGTATTGTTTATTAAGCGCAAGCATATAATATAAATATGTATATTTGCGTCTTGAGGAAACTCGCAATAAAATGTTAAATTTATGTTGAGATGGTTTATTTGCCAATTCCATCGATTTGTCACAGATGCCAACAAATATGAGACAATCGCACCGCTTCTCTTTGTCTTGCGCAAATTAATGCGTGCATGAGCATTGAAATGGTTCATTTGCATTTGAGTCGACGGTAATAATATTCTTTGTATCGAATAAAACGCATTTCATGCAATTCCATAAAAATAAAATGTATGCAAGCGGAAAAATAGTTAGCAACATTATAATAAATTGCGAGTTTGATCTTGTTGTAAAATATTCCATTGCAGGAAGAGCGAAAAATTCAGGTGATTTGTTTTCCATTACAAATTCTCAATGTTGCATGCCACTTTTCACGAGAAGCACAATATATAATTATAAGCACGTCTACTGCAAGATTATGGCATTAATTGATGGCGTCGCTTGGCACTCTCTGCCGGAAAACTTTAATATTTGCCACTTGATTCCTTTTCAGCTTCTGTATTCGTCATTTTTAAAACGCAGTATTTTTTTTAAAAATAAATAAATATGTTAAAATAATAATTTTTTTTAAATACCTTGATTACTTTTTAAATTTTAGTTTTATCTTGTATGTTTTGGTTTTTGCTTTTCCCTTGATTTTTTCTTTTGTAGGTTGACGTGTATAGTAGAAAAAAAAACACAAGTAACTCTGCTTGTCGCATGTTGAACTAGTTTGTAGACCTTGGCATCCTTGGTGTTAAATGCGTCTCTAACTCATCTACACCGCACATAAAAATACTGACTGACCTCCACTGAATGCAGTTTTCGTCCCGTATAGATTCAACCCCGAGCAAGAATCGACCAAACTGGGCCCAGAACCTCGCGAGGCTGACCAGGATATCGTTGAAATCTCCGCCCTGGAGGATTCAGAGCCCTACGGCGCCCTGAAATTGGCCCTTGAACCCGAAAGGTTGGAAAACGAAGCGCCGTACGACGAACTGGACGTTTTGCAAAACGACAAAAACACCGAGAATAATGATGATTCCGAGGATGATTTAAAACCGTACGGCGCCCTGAAACAAGCCAAGGAAATCGAGGCCTCGCTGCAACCCTACGGCGCCCTGAAAATCGCTGTGGCCGAAGAACCGTGGGGTGCCCTGAAAGTGTCCATCGCCATCGCCGAAAAGGAGAGAAAGGCGTCCGAGAGGTTGTTAGTCGACAGGCAGAGCATTGAAATCGCAGCCACATCCGAACCGGACACCGACATAATCGAAGTGAACGACCAACCTAAGGAAGGGGAGGCCAGGGCGCCGACTACCCTGGTGCTCCGACCCTACGCAAAAGCCGTGGCCGGTGCTGGAGGAACCGCGATCGCCGCCCCTGAATCGAGGGCAGTCACTGCACACCCCGGCGACGTGGTCATTTTTGAGCCGGAGACGATTGCCCTGGCCGGACCTGGAGGCAGGGCGGTAGCCCGAGCGACCTTGATCATCGATTCCACTTATTAAAGATCAAACGATTTCAAATTTCATCTCGCGCATTATATGCAAAACCAAAAACGAATTACTAGCCGCTGCTCACAGTGAATGACGATTGTGATTATTTTAATCTCCAAGATGGAATGTCTATTCTTGAGGAGAGTTGAACCGGTTTTCACACCTTAGGTGCCATGTATAGAGTTTGCGTGTTTAAAAAAATAAAACCTCTGCTACGCTTCATCCTTCAGAATTATATCACGCGTGTCTGTTTGCTCTTCTTTCACACTATAAATACACGCAGCTTTGGTTTCACTCTCATTTTTCCGCTTTGTGTACTAACATTTTGAGAAAAAAAAAATTATTATTGATGCTAGTTCTGTGAAGAGATCGAGTTGCGAGTGGGACAAACAAGCTCCTTTCCACAGTTCAATAGTTTTTCAGGTTAATTTTGCATCATGATAGTTATTATTACATTTTTTCGCCTACTCAAAATGATTTATTCATTAGTTTTTAATTCATTTCATATTAAAAGTCCTTATTTCTTTTCATGATGACAGGATAATTTAATTAACTCGCCTCATCAAATTAAAAGGCATTTAATGCTGCAATTAATTTTTGTCATTCATCTCTTTTTTAAATTGTCGTGGGATTAGGAACCCATGCATGTAAGACAAAACTTAACAAATGAGAGTAAAAATAAAAGGATCAAATGTCAGGTTTAAAAAAATTGTCCAAATCTACAGAGGCGGCCGGCAGTTCTACTACTACCCGTACCCACTCACCATCTCGAGCGCACCGGCGGGCCCACCAATCTTCTTGTACCCCGCAGGGCCACCCCAGGGAGGCGAGCAACCGCCAGGCGAAGACCTTGAGTCGACGGAGATCCGCCCGCCGCCCCCAGGAGCGTCGGTGGCTGAGGCACAACCCGTGGGCATCGCTATCGCAGGACCAGGTGGCGTGGCCGCTGCCCAGCCCATCGGCCAGGCCGTCGTTGGCCCCGGTGGGTTGGCCATCGCCCGCCCTATTGGCACTGCCGTGGCCGGTGTCCCGGGGGTGTCCGGAGTGCCCAGCGGCCAAGGTGGGGCAGGACGCCCCCCTACCGTGGAGGCGGAGGAGCCGCCCAAGATCACCATCTACTACACCCCCGGTCTGCAGCCCTACTACGTCTTGAACGGACGCCGTCACTGAAATGAACGGGATTTTTAAGGGCTGGGGATGACAAGGGTAGACTTTTTCTAATCAAAACTTGGTGACTGCTCAACGAATCAAACTTTCCTGCCATGACATTTTTGCTATAATGGATTTTTTATTTTTCCTTTTTAATTTATTTTATACACAAAAATGAGATCTGATTTTAATAAAAACTCGTCTGACTTGCATTTTTACAATTTTGTGTGTATTTCTTCTCACTCGATTTAATTGAATAAGAAAAATAATGAAAAAAGCTGCAACCTGCAGTTCAAACATGCTTGGCAGGAGGCATAAGTTTCTGAATTATTTAGTTTTTTGTTGATTCGTATTGATATTGAACAACCTTCATTGCTACATTTCTGCTGGTTTGCTGTAACAAATTAACATTTATCAGGGATGTCAGGATTTCTTGTTTCTTTAAATGAATATTTACATTAGATAATTCAACAATATTAAAGTTCATGTACATTCATTGACCTCAATCAAAAGTTAAGGTGTTGACTAAATCTCCATTAGATTAATTACATAAGTGATTAGGGTAATAAGGATCTCTCTAATTTGTAGAAATTTTGATTAAATCAAATATTTGAATCATTCAACTATGGCAAGGATAGACTTTTTAATGTAAAAACAATAATTCAACTGAATTAAACTTACAAGACAATTTAAATGATAAAAAAAAAAAATTAAAAAAGTTGAGATTTAATATTTATATGAAATAATTAAAAACACAATGTAATAGTTTTAGTTATATAATATGAATTTTGTTATTATCAGTAGTAACAGTCGTTAAACGTAATTTGTATGTACAATTATTAAGTAAAATGAAAATAAGCAGAAAATCTCAACTTGATTGGAATTGAGGTGGCGTTGAGTGGACGGCATAAAACTGGTTGGCCGAAATTTAAAGAGAAGAAATTTTTGGCGGTCGCTTGATTGGTATGCGGAGATTCTGCAGTTGACGTTATTTCCCATCTCGCAAAATTGGCAGATTGGCAGCGGATCCCTTGGCAATTAATCTTTGTAGGGCAACAAGGTCTCGGCACGAGGTGACTGTCAAATAGGAGCCCAAACGCGGCGTGATGTAACAAACGTGAGCTAAATGCTGTTATATCATTTACAAGCAACAACAAATTGCACTCTGATGATACAAAAAAAAATATGGCAAAACTGTACTTGCTTTATTGGCGCACTTTGCTTTACAATAGAGACGCGTATATTTCCATACCGTCAAATTTTGCATAGAGATTGAAGCGCCATTGTTGTTATATGCCGGTCGAGCTGGCCCGAATTTCGCAACACCTGGGCCGTTTGAACAAATTCTGAATGCTCGCAATCAGAATCGCCGCTTCCAGCAGAGCCCAGGCATTATGTGTAATGATAATAATGACTTTATTATCCCCAATGGAAATATATATTTGGTTTTTTGCGCCCGTCAAAGCTGCTAGGTGGTCTCTTTCGACGCACAAAGGCTTATTCAATCGCAACTCGCAGCCGGCGATGTGTGGCCCGTGAAATTATTTAATTCCTCTGCCGCCGCTATTGATACTTACACACAACCGTGTTATTAGTGTTTCGTCATTCAGAAGTCTGAATGTGTGATTGAACCCAAGTGACTCCTCTCTGTGAATTAAAAATTTTATTACTTGGAAAAATTCGCTAAAAAAACTAATCATTTCAAAATGAAATTTAAAAGTTCTCCTTCATTGAAATTTTTTATCTTGGTTCTTTTGTAACTCTCCGGTGTGGCCGTTTTTCCATCACAGTTTTTTTTCTTTACTTTATTATTATTAATTAGAGGTGTAGAACAAAGCGACCGCCTTGAGGATGCTCCCAGTTTGCCTCGTGTATTAAAAATTGTAAAAGCGCCGTATTTAAGTTGTTGCGCCGACTGCCCCGCGGGTGGAACAATTAGAGTGAAATGCAAAAAGCAACAATGGAGTCTGCAGCAGATTTGGCGGAGAGAATCGAAACGGCCGAAATTGAGAGTGATCGCGCAGAAATGTCTTGGAAAAAGAAGAATTCGCAGCCTGCGTGCACCACGCCGATGGTCAAAGAGATTAAAAAAGATGCACTGGGAGGGAGAAAAAAAGAGAGAATCGAAGAATTCGCCTCTTTTTTGTTATTCCCACGAGCGAGAATTATTTGCAGTTTTTGTTCATCAACGAGTTTTTTGTAGAAAAATCTTTTTCTAGACAAAGGTCAACGTATTTCGCGACGGACAAACTCCCATGTGCATGCACGAAAAAAAAGACAAAATTGGTTTCGACTCTGGCCCGTGAGTAACTATTAACCGACGCTTTGTTGAAATTGGCCGGGGCGTTAATTCGATTGCGGTAAATCCGTGGCTGCTGGTTTTAATTTAATTTTGGCGCAAATCTACGTCGCTATCCCTGCACGTGGGAATCCGTGCAATTGTCGTTTTCGCAACTTGTTTCTGATTTGCTGGCGTCGTGCAGATACGCAAATTGCAGCAGCGGTGCGCTATTCATGCAACGGGAGTCGTCGTTACTCACCCACTGACGGCACCTTTGATGAAAAATGGTTGAAATTTTTTTAAGGACGCCTCCCGCGTTATGTGTGAAAGGAGGCACAATGCGAGGAAATTTGGCCGGGATTGCCAACGAGCCGCGCATTGTTTTTGGTAACTGTTTTCAGCTTTGGTGTCATCAATCACTTTTCCTCAAGCACGTGAAATGGAAATCCGCACTCAATTCGCCGACTAATGACTCACACTTTTCTTTGGGAGGCTACGGAAGTGCAATACGATATTAATTTATTCAACATAATTTATTCTTCGTGACTGAATGAATTATATAATTAAGTTTGATTAATTAATAAAATTCGACTCTGAATCCTCCCTGTGCGTTCCATACTAAATATAAAAAGTAACAGTTTGTTAATTTCCAATACAGAATTTGCTTCCACACGCAATTTTTATAAAAAATAATTTTGTTTTAAATATAGTGTAATTTAAAAGATAATAATACAAAAATCACCTGTTTAATAAATTTTATTAATAATTAAATCAATTTAAATTAAAATACATTGCAAATTTGGCATTTTGAAAACAGTTAAAAAATAAATAATTTATTAAATAAAGAGAATATTATACATAAATAAATTAGAATAATAAACAATTATTAATGATACCACATGATTATTACTGAAAGTGCAGGAAAAATTTAATTAATAGAATACATATAATGCCTAAATTTTAAATATTTCTTTCAGAATTAATACTCTCAAATCAACCGGTAATTATATCTGAAACTAAAAGTTGTATGGAAACAGAACTTCATAACCAGTTATGAACGCAATTGTGCTCAATATCTGTTGGTTAAACATTGGACTAACTTTTCTAGAAAGTAACCATGCTGAGAAATTTATTAAATTACGTTTTGCCGCTGCCGATATATTTGCTCTATATAACGCATTGTAATTTTTCTTCTTCTTCAAGGCGAGAATATGAAAAATTGACGCGATTGTGCACTTACTCGCTGCAATAAATAATTGCACAATTCATGCACCAGTGGCATCCGACAATATTGCTTTATTGATATAGCATGCAGCATGATCAATAAAATAAAATAAAATTATAGCGTTTATAAAACAATTTGAGCAGATGCTCTCGAAAAATAAGATTTCGACATGCAAAGCAGATGTGATCACGAGTAATTACGTGCGCACCTGTGTTGGGGCTTACAATTAATAATATGCAGATGAGAAAACTGCGAGAGAAACACGCGGCATTCCAGGAGCACGGAAACAGAAGCAACCGTTGGTGTGGCAAAATGTATCCCCGGCGAGAATGCATGGAATAACTCGGCAGTGCTAATTGAAAACCACAATGATTGCTGCAAATATAATAAATATATAGCATTGTAAGCAGTGAATTTTAAGTGAAATACGGCGTTTACCAAGAGAGTGGCTTTATTATAAACGTCCTTTATTATATTTGCTTTGCTTGATGTAAAAACGAGAGAGTTAAATGGCTGCTGTTTATCATCAAATTAATGAACATTTGCTCGGCGATAAGCGCAACAAGCTTATTCTTAATTGTCAGCAGTGATCCATTGCTGCAGAGTGTCGCGCTTATAAATTGCTTTTAACTGATTCCAGAGCCATTTCAATAATTTTCTCATGAAGTCTTTTTTCAAGTAAATAATAAGGTTAACATCCATATAATTATGAAATTTCATAAATTATTCAAATTATTTATAAAAACTGATGCTAACTTAATTTACTTTTATCTTACTCTGGTTTTGATCAAATTATTATTGGCCATTTCCAAATCAATCTGACCAGTGTTTGGCATGGGTTGTTGGATTTGGATGAAACTTGGCATGGTGATACCCTTAGGGTAGGTGGTCAACCTAAGGTATATAGTTAGTCCAATATCCCAACATTGCCTATTTTACAGGGGCTCAAAGTTGCGATTTTCGCAAAATTAAAGTTTCCTTTAATCTCAATTATCTCGGGTTCTAGTGAAACAATTTCAAAAAACTTGACACCGTTTGAAAGCCAATTAAATGGACTTGAATTCGGCTATAAGCGTCAAGGTCGCAGGTCAAAGTTCAAGGTCACTAAAATTTTGATGAAATTTTAAAAACGCCGCCAGATATTGAAGGACCAAAAATATTTAAATCTTATCCACAGGAAAAATGTTCCAAATTTAATTTTACATCGGTGTACAAATTTTGGTGATATGTATTTTCTTTGTTTTTGAGATATCTACAGGGGAAGTTCAAAAAACGTGGTTTTTTGGCCCTTTTTTGAGGTCGTAAAATTTTAAACGCCTCTAATTTTGCTAAATTTGCCATAAAATTAAGCAAATACACTTCAGGAATGAGGAACTGTCATATGTAATGCAATTCTATGATCAGAGTCGATTTTGAATTCCACCCCTACCCCCGGGGGTGGGTTTTGGAGTTAATTTTAAATATGCCCAATGTTTGTGTTTTTGATGTCGTTTCCTATGTTTTCGACATCCAGGAACACGAATCTGAAGTCAGTTTTTGTTTAAAGTCAATAGCTTTATTAATAATCGCACTTGAATGAGGTGAATTTGATCGTCTGACGAATTGCGAGAAGCTGAGAACTCACTGCATTCAAGTGCGATTATTGATGAGGCTATTGACTTTAAACAAAAACTGACTTCAGATTCGTGTTCCTGGATGTCGAAAACATAGGAAACGACATCAAAAACACAAACATTGGGCATATTTAAAATTAACTCCAAAACCCACCCCCGGGGGTAGGGGTGGAATTCAAAATCGACTCTGATCATAGAATTGCATTACATATGACAGTTCCTCATTCCTGAAGTGTATTTGCTTAATTTTATGGCAAATTTAGCAAAATTAGAGGCGTTTAAAATTTTACGACCTCAAAAAAGGGCCAAAAAACCACGTTTTTTGAACTTCCCCTGTAGATATCTCAAAAACAAAGAAAATACATATCACCAAAATTTGTACACCGATGTAAAATTAAATTTGGAACATTTTTCCTGTGGATAAGATTTAAATATTTTTGGTCCTTCAATATCTGGCGGCGTTTTTAAAATTTCATCAAAATTTTAGTGACCTTGAACTTTGACCTGCGACCTTGACGCTTATAGCCGAATTCAAGTCCATTTAATTGGCTTTCAAACGGTGTCAAGTTTTTTGAAATTGTTTCACTAGAACCCGAGATAATTGAGATTAAAGGAAACTTTAATTTTGCGAAAATCGCAACTTTGAGCCCCTGTAAAATAGGCAATGTTGGGATATTGGACTAACTATATACCTTAGGTTGACCACCTACCCTAAGGGTATCACCATGCCAAGTTTCATCCAAATCCAACAACCCATGCCAAACACTGGTCAGATTGATTTGGAAATGGCCATTATTATTATTATTTTATTTATTATTATTTATTTAATCTGCTCAAGTCATGAAAAAAAAATTAAAATTGGAATCCATATTTTTTAATGATTATATTGATTATATTGTTCTTTATTTGTCCACATTGTTACAAATACATTATTTACATTCAATTTTGTTGAAAACAATTTAAAAAAGGAATTGTTGGACAAAACGGCATGATCACGAGCAAATATTTTGATAAACTTCCGAGATCAAAAGCCCCATGCGTCGCAGTGAGCCTCAGTTGACAAAGTTTTTGTTTTATGATCATTTTTAATAATGTAATGTTAGATTTTTCAGCTATTTTGGAGGTAATTACCAAGTCATCAAATATATTTGATTTTAGCTGAAATTCACAACTGTTCACAACTATATCTTAGAGGATTAATAATAACTCATATTTTTAAAAAAAAGTTCACCTTCAGCTCAAAGATTAATATAAATTTAATACCATTAATGTGAATTTTGCAAACTTTGAAAATGACTTTTGGTGCATTTCATAATTTATGAGTTCATATTGTAAAGTTTTCCTCTTCAAGTTAAATTTTTTAATTTCTAATCATTAATCATTTCAGCTTCCTTTAGTTAATTACTTTAATTTTCATTTAATTGTAAAAATCTTCAATGCAAGGAAAACTGAACAAAAAGCTTAGCACAATTCAAGGAAAATTATGTATCTGCAATTTCAAGGAACCGTCCATTGTTTAAGACTTTCCTAAACCTGGTTTTTATCACCCACATAACAAAGAGCCGACATTGGTGACAATAATGCACAAATTGATTTTTGCATGGGGATTTCATGAAGCCGATCAATCATGAGAGCGAGTCGTCATCAGGAGAACGTGTGCATCATGACGGCAATAATATAATCAACTAATGTGCGTGGCTCTACATTATAAGGATACCTTACAGGGTGGGGAAAAAGGTATAAGGAGGACGCTCGGTAGGTGCTTCGGAACATTCTGCAAACGGCCCGAGTGTGACACCAGCAAACATGATCACCACCTCGTCACCCGTAAGTTTTTATTTTAAATAATATCAAGATTGAGATTTTCATTTTAATACGTATTTGTGCGTATCAAATATTTTGGTCAACCTTGACACTGAGTTTCACTCGAACACGGTCGGAACGCATTTTATAAAGTCACCGCAGGAGTGTTTTGATCATATGATACAACCCGTCTCTACAGATACCATTTTTTTCTCACCTGTTATCGCGTTTCTTGTTTTTTACGGTCTGACAACATGATTAGCGTGGTTGTCATGAGACGTGCATTAAAATGGGCGTGTCGCGACTAGTGGTTTTAATTACCCATATTATCTTGATTCAAATTAAAAGTATTGCCTGTGGTAATAGCTATAGAGATAATTCATGAGCTTTGAATAATAATTGCTAGATTCGTGGAAAACACTAAGGCAACAAAAATGGGTTTTTAATCACAAATAATTTGTTTTCTCTGGCAAATTAAATCAGGTGGTTGGTATTTTTTAAAATTTATATCTGTTTGTTATGCCAAAATTATTAATAATGAGAAAAAATTTTAATAATATCCGAAAAATAAATAAATTCAAATTAAAATTAAAATTCTTCTGAAAGAAAATGATTTTAAAATCATGTTTTATTATTCTGGCAATAACACTGGAGGCCCTTAATTCTGAATACATATTAATTTTAAAACACAACCAAGAATAATTTTCCTATTAACGAGATTTTGTAAAAAAATCAGGATTCTCGATTTAAAAATAAAAATATTAATTTCCGAACCTTGCCAAAATTTTATGCAAATTTTGCGATTTCCACTTAGAGATTGTAAACAAAAACAATGCTCAAGGGTAGAGGAAGTAAATTGAGCAAACTGACCAGCCACTGCACAACGCAATAATAATTGCATGAAAAAAATACGCGTGCACAGTCGAGGATGCGCGAAATCGGTCGATTCGCATAACAACACACGTAATTATCCCCGCTGATAATTCACGCCAAGAAAAGAGTGAACAAGGTCTTGATGTGCTTTGTATTTTTTTAACCTTTCCGCTGCGTCCAAAAACGTAAAAAGATTAAATGTATAAAAACACAGTGGCTACCGGTGGTAACTCTGTTCCTTGGGTCGCTCGTTGATATCTCCATTCACATCATGTTTTCGTCATGGTCACTGTCACTGCCGTTGTGAGTCAGTCGCGAGTTGCGCCGGCCACGCACCAATCGAAGCCGCATTTCGATTTTTCAATGTATCTGCACGGGCGGAAAGAAAATTTATTCACGCTGGCGTTTTTCTGAGTAACGCGGCCTCGAATCGCCTGGGGAGGAAAAGAAGAAAGAGAGAAAGGTTATCAAACTTTTTGCAATTGAAGCATGTTTTGCGCATTGCAGACGCAAAAAATCACTCGGCGGCTCTTCATGCCTCGCAGGCCACGTTGTTGTTCTTTTTTTAAAGCATTATCCGGCTTTTCTTTGAATCTCCTCTCGCGTGCCTAATTTTGACACAATATTCAATTAAGAAGCGAAAACAATTTCCACGTGCTGAATCACGGATTCAGAAAACAAGTAATTTAGACAGTCGATTATTTTACCAAGCTTAACAGCAATAAAGAGAAATTTCCGCTTGTCAAAAACAATAATTGTTTAATTGAGCAATTTCGGAGCAAAACAGGATTTTCTCATTTTTATGTTCCCTTAAATTTCAACTGAAATATTGATTAAATTTTAATTGCGAGGCTGAAAATTACTCTTCTCGTTTTTTTTTTTAATCTTTTAAATTCTTCCCACAAATTGCTCTCGTTGAGCTGCCTATCAATTGAACTCTATAAATGGAATGGAAATTATTCAACCTTGGCGATCTTGACCGCGATCAAAGGCTTGGGATGCCGCGAGAAATCAAAGTCAGATTGAATTACTTGGCATTGTTGTGCATTACGCAATTCAAATACTCTTCAACTCCCCACGGTGAAATAAAGTTACAAAACATTTCAATTACACACGAGCGAGAGCATTTTCGTGCTTCAGAGCAAAGATAGTACCGTATTTTATAAGAAGAGGCAACGCAGGTCGTTTATGTTTATGTGGTGCTTTGGTCCGAAATTTATTTATGCGATGTACGATTCTCCTGGCCAAACCGAGTTTTGTATATATAAGGCATAAATTTTTCGGCTACGCATATAAAACGGCGAGTTAATCTGGTGACGGGAGGGTGCGGCGTGCTCTGCGGTTCGCTCGCTTATCCCGCGTAGCACGTGCTCAATCTATCACCACAGGCTATTGTAGCTTTAGCACGAGCAGTATGTGTATTGCGGGTGAACAACCTGCAGCCCCGCCCTGCACTTTTGAGCAGATGGACAGCAGAGAGAAATGATTTTTTTTTAAACACACTGATACCCTTATTTAAAGCTCGTTTGGTTCTATGGGCGTGAATTATTATTGTTTGTCTCTTCATTTTTTATTTTTAATCTTCACGTGGAAGTGATAATTAAAAAGCCTAGTCCGCAATTAATTCTGGTTTTTATAGGGAGACTTAATTAAAGATCACGTGCCGGTCAACAATGATGTGCGAGGCAGGCTAATTAAGTGCACCGTTAAGTGCAGCTAGGGCTATTTTCAGTGTGAAATAACGTGCAGTGAATGTGCGGAGGTGCACATCCCAGACTCTGTTTATTATATTTCAGGTTTGAAGTCAAACACCTGTGGAGCTCATTTGCTATAACCCTTCAGTTTCCGCGCTGCAAATATGATTTACGCCGAGTATATACAAAGCGGCGCCTTGCAACAAATCAGTCCGTTCTCTCACCAGCAAATTATTATACGGATGAGACGCCTACAGGAAAAGAATTACTATCGTGGGAGTTGCAGAGAAAATTGCACGATTAACCACGTGATTAATAGAGGACATCGATCGCTACTACATATAAATATTAATAGCCTATTTGCACAAACACGGTGCTTTAATAAATTATTCAGCATCTATAATTATAAATTATATTGAATATATTTAAATATAAATTTTAAATCAATTCACCCGGAAAATATTGAACAATTGGAATTCTCAGTATTTCCTGGTTGCTCCACGGCGTTCGCAGAAAATTTAAAAATCTGAATTCTCCGAAGCTAACTGGACTGCTTCAGGGGAGGAGACAAATTACAGGGCCGGCGAGAAATGAATTACAACCAAATTAGGCCTAATTTGATTTGCATAATTTGCTGAGCAAGAGTATTATGCTGGCAGTAAAAATTACTAACAAGGTATGTTTTTGAACTCAAGTAAAACGTTTCACATGTAAAATTTGAGATATTTTTTGTTTGCAAGCTGTAAAGTTGTAAATTTCGTACTTTCCAGTCAATTTGAATGAATTCCTTAGAATTATTAGATAAGTATAAAATAGACAAAATATTTTTTTTATATATATTTTTTCTTTTTTAATTAAAATTACTATTCAATTTGAGATTGTGAAAAATTATTTACTATCAAAACTTCTTTGAGTTATGCAAGTTTTATAATAATTTCATTCAAAATCGGGTCGTCTCCTTTGGAAAACAAACCTTATAACTTTTAAGTAAAATGCCTAGTTAACAAGTACTTTTCTCTCTTGTAGCCCACAGTTTTAAACGGCTCATTTGGCAAGAGTAGAATTCTTGAGTGGTCTCTCGCCTAAATAATACGCCTTGTGCGTTTAATTACTTAACTGCACTCTGTCCAGTTGGTAATGGACAAATTCTTTAAGAACGGGCCGTGCAAAAATGCCTTAATTGCTCTGTACACCAAAACGTGGAGCGTCTTGTGTGTTTGCTTTGTAAGACTTTTGAACATTTTAGGAGGCGTTTCGAGCAAACAATGCATGACTAAAATTCTTGCACACAACCATGCTTATTTGCATAAGACATACATTGAAGCCGTCAAAGACTTGAATTCCGGCACGCGCTTTTTCTTCTCTTTCGCCAATAAAAGTCGATCCTATTCATACAAATGCAACCTAAAAGCATTTTTGTTTGTGATGCGAAGAGGTCTATATTGACATAGAGGAGGTCACTGACTGGCACTTAGGAAAGAGGATATGGGATTAAAACCAATAACCATAAATTTAAAAGCCTCCATTATTTTGACCGAATCTCGTTCTGAATTGAACTTTTGATAAATAAAAATATAAGTTATAAATTCCTTACCAACCTCAAGTTCAACGAGCTTGTAGGTGAAGTAAATCAATTTTATTTTTATAGCTTGAAGTTGTAAAAATGTGTTCAGATCACATTATATATGGGAAGCACAATTTACAAGCTGCTTACAATCGAGGAAGATATCTCGCGCAAAAATAATTACATATTGTAAATCATCGTGCTTAATCACTCCAGAAATGCGCATGCAAAGTGATGAATTACCGTAGCGCAGCTATAAAACACGCGCTTATAACTGTTTTCAAACTCGCTCCGACTCTAATCACATGTAAGCAATAATGCAATTTCATGCTAATTTCGCAGGTCTTGGTGACTCTGGCGTTGTGCTCTGTGCTTGCGTCTGGCAACCCTCAGAGCTTCTACTACTTCCAACCCCCGTACCACCAAAATCAACAACAGCAATACCACGCACCTCAAGCGCAGCAATATCAGCAATATTATGCTCCACAAAACCAACAGTATCAGCAATACCAACCACAGTACCAGCCGCAGTACAGCCAAAGACAACAGCAATATTACGGTGGACAAGCGGCGGCACCCTACCCCTTCCCTTATCAGGGTGGCGGATTCCTAGCGCCAGGAAGGTTAGTTCCAAACATTAAATTAAAAAGCATAAATGCAAATTGAGCTTCAATTTCGAGGTTAATTTTTAAGAGCTTTTTTAAATCAAATATTTTTCATATGAATTTTTCAGATAAAAATCAAATGTCCCGCCAAACCTTAAATAATTCTGCCTAAATAAATTTTGACCTTATTGTTCTGAAATATAAAATTGCTTATTATTTCCGAGTAAAATATATTTAAAATCAATAAAATATGCTACATGAAAGTTAAATTTCATTGTTTAGATATGGTTAATATCGGTTAATATAGTTAATTAATAAGTTTTTAAGCAAAATTTTTGTGTGGATCTATATCAAACGTTTTGAATGTAATTTTTATTTTAAATTTCTAATTTTATATTTTTTAAATTTATTTAATAGTTTACTTAATTTCTATATTTGATTATATTTTATCAAACACAACATTCCCTTGTCAAAAACGAGACCTCGGGCGGCCGCGATCGACCTCGGGCGGCCGCGATCGACCTCGGGCGGCCGCGATCGACCTCGGGCGGCCGCGATCGACCTCGGGCGGCCGCGATCGACCTCGGGCGGCCGCGATCGACCTCGGGCGGCCGCGATCGACCTCGGGCGGCCGCGATCGACCTCGGGCGGCCGCGATCGACCTCGGGCGGCCGCGATCGACCTCGGGCGGCCGCGATCGACCTCGGGCCGCCCATGTGCTCTCATGAAGTTTCGTTTGGTCAGCTGTGGAACATTGTTGCGGTTTGCTGATAGCCGAAGCGTGAAACTGCCGTTAGATCTATTATTCGATTGCGCGAGTCCTAATGTGTCACCTTTTTTTCCTCTCATGAATGACATATTTCCCTGTAAAACACAATAGCGGCAATATCTGGACACGTGCATCTCTCCTCTCAGATAGTGCCAATGTATCCTAGACTATTTCCATTTGTGCTTCTTTGAGATGCGAGAATTTATTTTATTGCATAACCACGCAACGCTATTATCTCCATTCGAGGCGCGATTTTTTCTCTTCTACATCTCGGCGATGGCGTGCAATCGAGATTGTGTATAAATACCACGCCTATTGTCACGCCTATATACTCTCATAAATTATTGAAATGAGATTATGCAGCTGGTCATGGGTGGCCAGAACGAAAGAGCGTCTCGTGCTCATCAATTATTCAGCAGAATTCCTCCGTGTAGCGAAAAAAAGCCTAAGCGACTACAAAGGAAAATTCCGGCGAATTTCACCTGCAGCCAAAACAAAGCATGCGCTCGATTAATAAAAGTGTTTGCATAATCTTAATTTATGATCCGCAAAAGACGTGTTGTTCTAGTTGATTAGCAGTGAATAGCAAAATACGGACGGGCTCGCCAGGAGGAATAAAAAAAGAGCGCACCGCTTTTTGTCTTCTGCAAATTACACGCTTTGTTTCCAGCCGTTCTTTTGTTTGATGAGATCAACCACAAATGGTCATTGCTGTAACGATCACAGCAGTTCTTTTACGATATTTTTATGATTTCCTCCATAAACTTTTTAAATTTGGGTTAGTTTTTGTCTAAAAAATATACACACATGATGAGTGATAAAGAATAATACAAATTGGGGTCGATCATTTTTTCCTGTAAAAATTATTTTAAATCAAAGTTTTTGCTGCATTACTTTCAAAATGACTTTAGGGTCAATTCAATTAAACTGCTGTTGCAGACAATCAAGTGCAGGAACTTATTCCCGTTAGATAATCTCAAATGCGGTGTGCGTTTAATTAAATCAATTTGTGCAGCAAGTTTGCAATTTCAGGCTCATTGTTACACGGTGCAGCTGGTGGGCATCAGCGAGTGTGTGTGTTTGTGCGTCCATTCAATTACATGTGCGGCGTGCAATAACTGAAATTACACCGTGGCCAATCGCACGGCGAGTCCAAACAATGCACACAAAAGTGCACAGACGCTGGATGCTGAGCTGAAACACGTTTACAAATTGAATTTTTGTCCATTATCAGCACCAGTCACGCTACATTATGCTCACCGCACACACACTCGAAACCATCCCGTTAGCCTTGCATTAATTACCGCGAACAAATTCACCTTTCAAAATGCATCTGCGTCAAATTTAAAAAAAAGGGAAGCCGACGGGCGACAAAAATGTCTTTGATTTTCATATTCACCGAAGTAATTTATTATATTTTAAGTCGGTGCTTGGAAAAGTGGTTCTGGCGTGGCGCTTGATATTTAATACACATACACAAATAAAAAGAGTTGCAAGGGCGGCCGTTTTATTTTGGACTCCCTGTGTCAGACCAGTTAACCTTGCTTTGTATGCAGCGTCACCAATTGGAGAACATTCAATACGCGCCGAGGAGCCTTGGCTGCGCTCGGGCTAAACGGGCGAACGTGATCTGGAAAGAATGGCTCATCTTTCTTTCTGTCTTTTGACTCTCTGCTGGCTGCGAAAACACAAACATAATCCTTCATAATCGCGGTACTCGGCCGTGCGAAAAAATAAAAGCTCACTGGCTAGCTGTGTCGAAAAGGTTGGATCGATTTGGGGTCAACGTTTTTTTCAACACAAGTGTTTGGCGATGAGCATGGAATACCAATTTGCGCCGAGACATGGTGATGTAACAAGTCGTCAAATCTTTTCAAAGAAAAGAGATGCAAAGAATTTTTTATACGTTAGACCTGCCGGCCGTTTGCTTTTTGTTCTAATCTTGAGGAACCCTAAAAGTATTAGGTTGTTCCACTTTTTCAACTATGGCGCAAAAAAATTGATAAAGAAATAATTATGGTTTCTCAAAAATAGCTGTAGTTAACTATTAAGTCATTTACTCATTTGGTTAGCACCGTCAAATTTATCTTAAAGTATGACAGTAAATAATGATCAGTATTTGAAAAGGCAGTAAAAAAACTACTTATGTTCATTTTCTTTCTTTCTTTTGCATTACAAAACCAAACACAAAATAAAGAGGTGATAATTTTCTTTACAATTTTTTATTCCTTTTCAGTTACAACCCGGCGTACAACTACAATCCAGGATACAGCACCTCAACAGTACAAAGTTATGGTCCCGTGCCACCCCACCAGTACTATTCGCCCCCGCAGCAACAGCCCCAGTACGTTTTCGTGTACCCCGGCAATCCGTATCAACCCTATCCGAGCAACACCCCTGCCGTTCGCTCTCCGCCAATGGACGACACCGGTGACGCTGAGGTCATCAACACACTGAACAGCAACGAGCACCCCGAGCAGGACGCCTCCCACGAGCGCCGGGAACCCCTTAGCCCTGATGTGGCCCAGTCAGGACCGGAAGCTGGACGCAGAGTTATGCCTGAGAAGCACGTCGTGCTCCGCAAACCCCAGAGGGTGCAGAAGTTGGTTGACGAGGCCAAAATGGTGAGGCAACAGCAACAACAGGCCCAAGCGAAGGTGGACGACGACGTTGACACGATTGTCGTTGAGGTTTGCTCATTTTTATTTAAAAGAACCTAAAATTTTATAATTATTTTTGTTTTTCAGACTGAAGACGAAGAAGATGACAGCGCATCGAACCGCCCTGACGAGAAGGGATGGCGCCGGCGCCTGGCCCCTAGTCTACAGTCTGTATACTTGGAAGCTGATGATGACGACGCACGTGCTGGAATCAAAGCCCCTTCGACCGGAAGTGGCGAGGGGGTGGTTGTTGGAGAAGATTCCAATGGACCTTCCGTGGCGTCTGTCAAACCGGCGGCCATCGCCCTCGCTGGACCTGGAGGAGTTGCTTCTGCAGCCCCAGTTGGTTAGTTTAGACTTTTTTTTGTCAAAATGTGCTCTTTTATCACATCAAATTTTAATTTTAGTCTCTTTCATTATATTTTATAATTTAAAGCTGCTCTCGTTTATTTGAAATTACCTTATAGTGTAATAAAATTGTGTTCTTAACTCGAGGAACGCAACCCGCGAAACTTGTATGCTACGCAGAATGCATAATTCCAGCTATTATGTTTTTTCTCTCTCAGAAATAATACCTTCATCATCCTGAATGAAAAATGGTTAAAGTTGAACTTAAAAATATCTCGTTTATGATAATTATGCAATTAAATATTAAATTTAAGTATCCCTCATTAGAGGAGGAAAACTTTTTGAAAATTCAAACTTACAAAAAGTTAATTTTTAATTTATTTTTCAATATTATTATTTTAAATGAGAAAATTGTAGTATTTTTTAAGTTAGATAATGTTTATTAGATTTTTTGGGTCTCCATATCTCATATGTTAATTTTTTAGAGAACATTGTAAAAATTTTTCTAATCGCAGGAACAGCAGTGGTAGGACCTGGAGGACTGGCCGTCGCTGCCCCATCGGCCACAGCCGTCGCTGGACCTACCAGCGGCGTCCCTCCTGGCGTCCTCGGAGGCACTGCTTCTGCCAGGTCCAACTTCCGTCTGCATCAAATGCTGGAGAAGATGTACGCGGCTCCTGCGCGTCGAGCAGCCCTCAGGTCTGCTGCCGCTTACAACCTCGAAGACTTCTACTAAACTGTGCCCGGCCCGCTGTGTAAATAATATGTGCAATCAAATATTGAATTTGAAAACTATGTTTATGTCCGCCGATTGAGTGCGTGCAGGGAGGCTGAATTGATTCCAGTTAGTTATTTAAGCTTTCATGCATAACTAATTGCAATGAATGTGAGAAGCGGACATATAATGTATTATTTCAAAAGAGAAAAAATTGGCTGAAACGCCGATGTTGGAAATTTGTTTTAAGAAAATAAGAATTGTAATTGCTCGTTAGACATATAAATATCTGCCATGACATACAATTAAAATGCCATCACACGAAAATTTAAAAATAAAAAATTTCAAACGCTGTCACTTTTCTTGCACCGCAAAATGGAAAGTTTTGAAATGTTATTTACGGATGGAATGCTCACCCTGAAGATCAACACCGTTATAACAAGGCATTGTAGATCTCATTTTGAACGTCAAACTATAAGCTGTCATCATTATCTTTCAATAAAAAATACAGAAATGTCAATTATTAATTTTTTGTGATAATTTTATTCCTAGAGTAAAAAGTTATAAAAATTAAATGCATTTAAAATTAAAAAAACAAATGCACAATACATTGATTTATTGTACACTTAATTAATTTTAGTAGGAAAGAGGCAAAGGAAATTGAATTCTTCTTTAGTAGAATATAATAATAGGTCTCTGCTTTTATTGAGATTGGTGTAAGATTTTTATGTGTTGTTTTAATGGCAAGTTCAAGGTTTTTCAACAAAACTTGTTATTCTGCTCCACCCCTTTCCAAGCGCCAGAACCCAAAAATGAGACGCGCACATGATGTATGAAAGATCATTCTTTTTAAGTTGCATAAATTTTGCTTGAGAGATTCGCAAATAAATGTATAATATCCCATTTAATATTAACTATAATTCAGAACAATTTAACCTGCCCTTGTGAGCAAATTGCAATTTACAATTACAAGAAGATATTGGCAGTTGAGTTTTGCAATTATCCACATGCATCTGTTATTGCGAACGGATTTTATGTTATTGCAGATACACACTAAGTGACCGTTAGCCAAATAACCCGGTGCACACATGTGATGCCGGTGTTTGCGTCTTATAACCTTTGCAGGTGAGCAAGGTGAATCATTCTTTGAGGAAGAAGGAGCAAGACACCGTCGGCGTCACTAGCTGTGCCGAGCTTTAGTCGCCACGAGCCCGATATTTCCCTCGCCAGTCGTACTCTGCAAGTCCAACGAACCATAGCCGCAAACACTCATCTCTTCTGAAAATGTGGCCGCAGGTATGAAAAACACGGAGCTGTGATCAAAATAAATTTTTTTTTTACCATTTCTTATTTAAAATTCTTATTTAGAATGAAAAATGTTTATGTGTAGTTGTTAAGATTACAGCTCAATGTATTATAATTTAATAAGTTTTAAATTAACTGATTCTTTTTATTTTATCAGAGACTCATACATAAAAATGATTTAAACTATTTATTGATTTTTTTAATATAAGTAAAGTAAAATTTTTGATATTCAAAACATGAGTAAAATGCTTTTGTATTTCTGGATTTTTCTTAAAGCAAACTAATTCTTGTGCATATTTCCTGCAGGCTTCTAAATTGATGTTAATTGGCTTAATCGCCGGTGTGACAGCCTCGCCGATAGTGAACAACCGTGATTCAAAGTTTCTGTTCAAGTCGCTGCTACCTTTTCATCATCACTTACAACAACAGTCTTCTTTCTTCTACAGAACGTGAGAATTAATTTTGGCCAAACGCCTTGAAAGCAATCAACGTTTCTTTGTGAATTTCCAAGAAAATTTAAAACAAAAATACAAGAAAAAGAAACGATTTTCAACTTTTCAATCCCAATTTGATTGTTTTTTTTTTTTTAAATATTATTTTTAATAATGAACAAACAATCAATAAATATAATTAAATATTTCAGGCCTCTGATCCACCCTCCTGCACCGCATCATCCCGACCCGGTGGATCCCATGCCGTACGCGGACTACCCTATCGAAGGCATGCACCCTCCTGAGCCAGAGCCAGAACCATTTTTCACTCGCTTCGCAGCGCCTCCTCCACTACCAGAGCCCGAGCATAATTTCCCTAATTTCGGCAATTTCCAGAACCATGAACCTGTAATTACCTACACGTCGTACAGCATTCACAAAAGCAACCCAAGCAATCATCTCGAGCCGCCTCCCAAACAGCCTTCCCGAGCAGGACCAGTGCGCGTCTTTTTCCTTTTCTCTCGCTTCCCCTGGCCGCTGGAGCCGGTGGTCCAGAGAGTGCAGAATTACTTTTCCACCTACTCGGTACCAACCGTTGAGCCCCTGTTAGACGAGGAGGTCGACTTGGGGCCTGCAATTGAAGAGGTGGACGACATCGAAAGCCAACTTGCTCTCGGTCCAACGACCACTGCAAAGCCAGACAAACTAGAAAATAATAATCAAAATATTTCTAATTCCACGGAGAAGGACGAGGAACCTGCGATCGAAGCGGCGGTTCAATTTGAGTCTAATTCAACCACTCTGGTTAACAGAATCGAGAGTAATCAAAATTCGACTCTTGAGTCGGAGAGAGCCGAAGAGACGAGCACCGAAACGGAAGAGGAAGATACAACAACCGAAGAAATTACGACAATTTCTAATGAACAAAATGCTGCGACGACGCAGTCAACTTTGAAAATTGCCAAGGTCGAGACGACGACACTTGAACCTCAAAGTACCAGCGAATATGCATTGAGAGATTTGGTGGATTACAGCGACGACGTGATCATATCCAAAAAATGAATTTTTATGGTTACCAAAATTTTGTATAATAATTATAATTGATGTAATGAAAACAAACAAACGGCGATGATGAACTGAAGTACGTACAATATGTTCTCCTAAATAAATGTATACTAGCATGGATAAACAATTGTAAAACTGAAACATGCTAACTAAAATAAAATGATAATCTTTTTCACCTTGGCATTTTTTTTGCTTTTGTAGTTTGTTTAAATAATTAACGGCATTAACACCTAGAAAAGTTGCAACAAACGCGTGTTTTGTTTTCCAAGATTTGAAATTTATGAGTTAAAAAATTCTCAAAATGTTTTTTATTGTCTTATTTATAAAGTAAAATTGAAAATTTATTAAAAATACGTAGATTTTTAACTGTAAATGCATGTTAAATGAAGAAAATGAGCCAAGTTGCATTGGCAGCGAGCGAGTAGCGTTGCACACGTTTATTCCTATTGTTGACCGTGACCGTGAACTTGAAAGGAAACGCGTTCTCTCGCTATATGGAGTCTATAAAGACACATGTGCGCGCCGAGCCAAATTACTTCTCACATAAAAGATAAATCCCTGCTTATCCCTCTCTGCCGAGCGTGTGAAATTTCGCCAAGCTGCACACCTCTATTATTTGAATCTGCAAATCGCAGCAGGTTGTTTTCTGCACGTCTCACCCGAGTCATTTCCACGTTTGTTTTGCTGCCCGCGATATTATATTTCCTTATACACAACGCGAGAAAGACAACCGCTGAGCTCAATTATGCCACAATGCAATTGGGAGATAATTCGAGAGTCATTTTTCATCTTTTGAATTTGTGCTCACGTGAACGCATAATTTGACACAATTTAATGCCTATCTAATTTTTTATATTCTTTTGTATTAGTTCCTTGCATTTATTTCAGAATTATATAAAAAAAATTATTGCTTATTTTAAAAATGTATTTTATACTTCAAAAATAACTGCTTTAAATTAAATGAAATTTTTTGAAGCCAATCATGATTTGCGATTGTCCAGCAGCTTGGTCCCGTGAAGATGCCTTTGTGAGATTACCGCAATTAAAAGTTCGCCTGCAGCGCAATTACGATGAGTCAAAGAAGCGCCGCCAAACGTGCACCTGAGACTTTGATTATCATCGGATTTCTCCGCAGCAGGGCCTGAAGAGACGCTAAATTAATAGAGCGGTATCCTTGATTCGAAATTATGGCTTTCGATTTTCCCTTCAGAGAATTTCAATGCGTCAGTTTTGTAAGTACGGATTGAAAAATTGATATTCGGGCAAGAAAAAGTTATGTACACTGAAGCTGATCATTAAATTTGATCAAATTTGGTGGCAAATATGAGAGGAGTATAGTCAGATGGGAGTTTCAAGAAAATTCTAAAGGAAATAATAATTCTTTATTTGAATTTTTTAATGCAAAAATTTACGACTCATTATTAATATTTTTATTAAGAACTTAAAAAAAATTGTTGCTTTTATAATTACTCTGTTTAATTTTAAATTAATACGAACTGAGGGTACAGTTATTCAGCATTAAGTGACAATGAGATATTAATTTTCAATTAAGTGACAAAAAGAGACATTATGGCGCATCCGAAATAGTACAGCGTAGTGAAGTAATTTTAGCAAGAACAAAAGAATTGCTGTGAAGCGACAATCTCTTTGGAATGACTTGTTTGCAGAGTACAGTCAACAACATGCTTAATATATTTCAGGTGAAGAAGAACTCAAACACTCAAGGGGCCATGCAATTAACAAAAAATTAAAGGCCTGTTCTGAAGCTAGTCGCGCAAACCGAGAGCCTTTTTAGGCAGCGGAATTCCACAGTTATGTGAAATTTTTATGACATTCGTCTGTGTCATATCTCACGTGACGGCGTCGAGACTTTTACGTTTATGAAAATTGAATTGCCCACACACAGTCCTCTGTGCGTGGTGCAGCCAGAACAGTTATAATAATCCGAGAGCTGTTTGCCCGCTGTTTTCCACAGACTCTCCGCGAGAACGCGTCGCCGAATTGAGCAGAGAAGATGCTGTTGAGACCGGTGAGTATTTTAGCCTTTGTATATAAAAATATGTGTATCAGGAAAGTCTTGCTTGTTGCGACACATCAGGATCAATAACCTTTTAAGAACTTATTCAGCGGCGTGGCCTTTTCTTGATTAGCGCTCCAGATTGCTCAAGTTGTATTTTTTTTTCAACCGCACTTAACTCGTTAATAAGCGAAGAGCCTTGGATTGTTTCTTTTATTTGATTGATAGCAAATATGCGAAGTGTGTAATTTTATTTTTATATGAAATAATGACTTTATTGAAACGAGTTTTACTCACTTAGACGAGATGTGTATAAGTGTTTTTATTAATTGTAATGCAAGTTTTCATAATTTTATTCACGCGCCGGTGTCGCATCATTTTAGTCGCGCATCCAGTTCTGCAATCTCTTTTGCATAAATTTAAAATGCAGGTGCCGCACTGAACTTGCCAGTTTTGATTAAAGGCTGTCGCCGAGTACAGGGCGGATAATAACAGTGAAAGAGCAAAAATTTGATTTATTATATTAATTAAAATAAAGCAATTGAAGAAGAATTAAAACAAAAATGAAATTCGTTTCAACTTGCTCAGTTTTTGTGCCATTATAAGAAAAAAAGTGGCGTACATATCAGATAATTTCTTATACACCTTCTTCAGCACCCAATTAGAATAATAAATCGTAATAAATGGAACTTGTACGCCCTTAACTAAGCTGGAAGCAACAAGAGCCCTAATAAATTCCTTTGGATTTACACCTGAGCTCTCTGATGATATTCGCAAATTTTTTTCTCTTCTTTTCGCTCGTCTGACGTCGTTCCACATAAATTTGCAGGTGGTGCTATTGGTGCTGCTCGGAGTGCTCCATCAGGTGGCTCGCGGTGCTCCACCCAACACAAAAAGGTCAGTGGCTTTCCGCTCTTTTTTTTCTTTTCCAAGCTATTCGCATTCGCTCTATATATAACGCGCAGAAGATAGATAGTTTCTAAGGCAACCCGTTCTCCCTGACCTTCCAATATCGCCTAGCTGTTAGTTTTCCTCCTCGTGTGGAGGCGCCTCTTCTTATTATAATGCGGCTGTTTACATTTGCCTTTCTTTGGGCGAAGATTTTACTTCGTCACTAAATAAGTATCGTCATTAAACTGGGCAATCTGGTTCTTTTTGCGCACTTAAAAGCAGTAGGGAGTAAACACGGTTTGAACCACAGATTTACATCCGGTACATACCCATGTACTAAATACATGGGCATGACGTCATACATGGGCATATACCAAATGGGCATGACGTCATACATGGGCATATACCAAATGGGCATGACGTCATACATGGGCATATACCAAATGGGCATGACGTCATACATGGGCATATACCAAATGGGCATGACGTCATACATGGGCATATACCAAATGGGCATGACGTCATACATATGGGCAAAAGGGCGGCCATGACACCTGGGTGTCAGGTACGTGGGCAGGGTGCCGCCAACCCCCCCCCCCCCCCAAACGAGAGGGCGCGCGGTCGTCAGCAAGGCGGCCGCCTCGACGGTGTATTGGGCGCCGCGCGGGTGTAAACGATGAGGTTTTGTATAACAAAAACAATTTATTTAATTTTGAATTTTGTTTATTTAATTCCAAAAATTAGCATTACAGTTATTTGTACAGTTTTTTAATCATGCTTATAGCCAAATTTTCATTTTCCTCAACATTATTCAAGAAGAGCTTATAAAATTCTTTTGACAATTTACCATGGTACATGTGTATTAAAAATAATATTGCAAATATTCCGCAAGAGTTTGAATCTTCTCTCTGCATGGGATATTTATTGCATACAATTGCATCAGCGTTTCTATTTATAAATTGTATAATATGGTAATTACATGGAATGAGCCCTAAACTATCATTAACCGAGCAGACCCTAACGTTATCTATCAGAGAAAAAACGATTGCAATCCAGTGACCGACTTTGCTTTTGTCTGTAGAGGGATTCGTGTTGATTATATAATATGATGGTTTTTTTACGTCTCCGGCCGGAAGCTGGTCGCACGCGCAGCATACACCAAAACTCTTTATCTTATTATTTATTTCTAGACTATCCATTTAAATTATAATTCCAGTGCACAGCGCTTTTATACTTTTTCATTCAACAGTTACTCTATGTTTTTCAATTCCGATTACTGAATTCTCAAACTCGCTGATTAAAACTAGCGTGAGGATGGCGGTTGTGTCAGCTTCAAAGCCAAGTTCGAGGCTAAGGACCCCATTCCCAGATGTTGTTAATGGGTTGAGAGCAATGTCGCTAGTAAATCTTTGCGCAAAAAATACGCTGTCATTTTTAAATTTGTCGAGAGATAGTGCCCTATCCTTGCCAGAATTTAAAATTCCCAATTGTTGTAGGGTGTAATTATACAGTTCTGTGACATTTTTAGTTTTGAAACTAAATGGAATAGTATATGTTGGTACGCTTGCATTGTTATATGTAAAGACAAATTTATTTAAGTTGTGACCTTCTAATTTATAACCTGACGTGGAGATTGAACCTTGGAAGTTTGCCGATGGTACTAGGAAAAACACCACACGACTTGGAATTTTACCCAGAAACAAATTTTGCATTGAGAAATGGGACACTCCCAACGGAATACTAAAATTATTAACCACCATTTTGTTATATCCTATTTTAAAAGCACTCTTATTAATTTCTTCTTGAATTTTATTAACTAGAGAATGCTGCACCTTGACATGACGAACTAATAATTCGCACGTAAGAATCTCCACTCTCAAGTCTGCTTTGTTTGAAAGAAGCACAAATGCATCAGAATTTTGTTCTAATTCAATTGATAGATCTGTTAATGGTGGTAAATATTTCTTTTGTTTAAATAGAGGAGACTCGATGGGACCAACTAAAACTAGTTCTTTTCCCTCTGCAATCAGCAAACTTCTATCGACCACACCGCTTGCTTGCGAATCTCCCACAGCACCAGGTTTATCCTCGTTATACCCAATACTCAAACAATGCTTTCTAAAGTTTGAATCATAATTTAAAATTACAGAGATATATGATAAATAGTGTTGGAGATGACAGCTCGACACCTGGGTGTTGTTTATGTATATATCCAAATTTTTAAATAGTGAGCCCAAGGTATTATTCTCCACCGAAACTTTTTCTGTATCTGGGAGAACTTTCAGCGGTTTGCCATCAGCTTTTCCAACGATTCTCAGCTTGACTGCAATTTGGGTCGCTGAAAGGTCAATAGCACTGTCCTCTTGTTTGGGAATGAGGAATTTATATTTGGGATCTTTTGAAATTGGTTGATACTTGATGATAACTGACTCCTCCGCAGAGTCAAGTTTGTCGGATAGCGAATTCATTTAAAATAACCTTTTGGTAGAAGGATTGGATTTCTTCTGTCCCCCTCTATGAATTTTCTTTCCTATATATGTTTCACGTGTCGAGACACCTGCCCCCTTCTGGGAAGTTTTGGAAGCTTTTTTCTCTTTCACTACTCTTTTTTTAACCTTCTTTTTTGTTGCTTTCTTTTTAATTGCTTTAACAATTTTTTTCGCCATCTCCAGCGTTGGATTCATTATTCCAGATGTTATCATGAGACCTTGGAGACATCTTTCACTGGACACGCAACCGAAACTCATTCTATCTGCAGTACGAGGACACTTTCCTCCTTTTTATCCTCCGTTTTCAAAAAATCAAACTTCTTATAATCAGAATTAAGTAATTCAAATCGAAGTTCTCTTATATGATCTCGATCAAATTCAATAAAAAGCGGTCTAGATATTTCAACCAATCCAGTTTCTTCTACTATAGCTTTTCTCAGGATTCGTTTCTGTTCTTCTCCTAAGAGTGAATGACGAATGCCTGTGCACGTGATATATATAGGTTTTGAGGTTTTAGGTTTCGGTAGGTAGGCTTCGATTAATGCAATTTTTTTGCCTTTGGTTTCCAATATATACGGTAGAAGAACTGTGAAACTCGTTTTGTTGTTTGAAGCATATATGCCGGTGAATGATTTTGACTTTGCGTATATAATCATTTTTCACTGAATTTCTGCAACTCTCTTCTGTTGAATCGACCCAGAATTTCTTGTTTGTCCTTATCAATTATATTATATAGCGGGTAAGGCTTTGAAATTTGTTTCGACACAAAAAAACCCTCGTCAGTCCACGATTGCTTGTATTTTTTGCTTAGTAGAGATTTGTAAAAAGGGATTCTAACTTGATCGCCAACGTCATACACCAACTTGCCAGGTTTCTTTGAGAGGTACCCTTTATATAGTTTCAAAAAAACTTCTCTTTGATTGACTTTCGATTTAAGCACGTCAATTGGTGCCATTCCCAAGTTTCTATTCACTGATTTGTTTATTGCATCGTTAATTTTGTCTACCACATCAATCCATTTCTTTGTCTGTGCATGTTCAAAGTAACGATATAGTCGCGATTTAATTAATCTAATTCGATTTTCACTTAAAAACGCTTTTCGCTCTTCGTTTCGCGCCAGCAATAATTTTAAATTGTGTTCACTTAAAAAGGTTTTAAATGTCTTATTGTCAAATTCACGACCTTGATCGGTATATATTCCGAAATCAGGTTTGTGTTTCTTGAAAAGCTTCTTGAATCCCTCTGTGACGTCAGTTGCACTTTTTGTTTTTATTGGAAACACGTAACCCATCCTGGTGAGAACATCCACACACACACAGAGATAGCCATAATTTTTATTGAATTTTTTTACTGCTTGAAAATCTGCAAGATCGCCATGCCAAATTGCATTTACTCGCCAGGCAAACGCAGGATTTGTTGGAAATTTTGTGGTTCTTTGCGCAAATTTTGTTATTTCATCAACAGAATGAGACCATTTTTCAATATCTTTTTTAGGAAATCGATCCTTGAATTTATTCAAAATATTAGTTTTACTAGTAAAAGCTGAATCGTAGTTCAGATTGTAATAATTTCGGTCGAGAACTCTCTTCATCGTCACCAGTCGTATTTATCCCAGCGTCTCCTCTTCCGCACGGGGTTTTTATAGGTTTCCACATAACCGATTTCTTCGAGCGCTCTAGAAAAGGGATCGTAGTCCTCCACAATTTTTTCCGATGGGTTGATTGTTTGTACTATATAATCGAAAAGTGATGAATTTCCCAATTTTTCACTCTCAAAATACACGCCATCCCCATTCCACTTGAATTTATTAGACTTTTTTATTGCTGCGTAGAGGGCTTTTGCTTTATTCTTTACTCCGTGGGGTAGGCCACCGAGTTTTGTTTCTGTCTCACCATCTGCGATCCCCGGTGCAGCAGACATGATGTCATCGTTGGCATAAGATGCTGTTTCCCCTTCTTTCATGCGCTCATCCTTTCCAGATTTTTTGTCCATCATTAGATTATACATTTCGTCATAATTAAGCAGCTGTGGTTCTTTCTTTGACTTAATTAGGTCAAGATCATGCTGATCGACGAGGAATAATTTTTTGTAATTCATTCCAAAACACTTTTGATTAAATTTATGGTTTTTTCGTTCAATTTGGAGATATGAATCTTTCTCTTTTTGCAAGATTGGTTTCTTTTTAAAATACACTTGCAGCTTAATGACTGCCTTTTTAGAGCGATGATCTGAGACTGTTCCAGATTTACATTGTTTTCTCTTATATTGTGGAGCACTTCGCAAAATTCTTTTATTATTAATTTGTCTACGCTATTTAATATAAGTGCGCGTACATCAGGAGTGGCGTTCAATATGTATAACAATGCTTTTTTACTCGTCTTCATTTATTTGAAGGGGCGATCCGCTAAAATCTTCAGTAGATATAAAGTATGCAGGATACGAATTTATTATATCAGAGCAGAAACGTAATAATCGTGGACACCTTGTTTGAAAATTCATTACTAAATATCCATATCTTTGCTTGCTTGCATCTCTATATATACTCGTGATGAAGTTCGTTTTGTATGGCAACTGACGCGCTAACGCTTGGAAGCTAACACTATCACGGAAATTTTGGAAACAAATAATGACCTTGGCATTTAGAGACACTATTCTGAGTGCTGGCGAGAGGAATAAATACTGCATTAGATAAAAAAATGAAATTGATTTGTGGTGAGCTTCCCTGATCATAAGTGATTGCGCGATCTTTATGCTCTCAGTGTGTCCATCATCAATACAAATTGCTCTGTTTTTTCCATCGTTGGGAAATGATTCGGGAATACCTTGAATGAATTTAATTTTTTCCTTATAATCGTCAAATATCTTATTATAAATATTGTAATAATATATAATCTCGTGAATCTCTTTATCTATATATCGATCAGTATCAGCTAATATTTTGAGAGTTAACACTGTTTTTCCCGAATTTGATGCTCCGTATAGGAGTACCGATACCGGATGTTCCCATTTTTGAAATACCATTATCGAATTGTTAGTTTTCAGACTGATTTCACAAGATGATCTTGTCATCCAAGTTCACACGAGCTTTTATACTCTCTTGAACGAATAATTTTGGGTATATTATATAACTTAAGCAATTGTTAATTCCATTTCAATCGCAGTTTCCACGGAGGAGCCACCAACGATCTTAGTGGATTGTGGTGGGATGGAATGGTGTGGGAGGGGGTGGGAGAAAATATACATATTAACGACCTAACCCCATTCTACTTCAGAAGTAGTCCGTTCGTCGCAGAATGAGCAATGAAATACCCAATGCTGCTAGCGATATTAAGAATGAAGATATTTACATTCGCAGACGAAATCTCAATTATACCCACACAAATGGAATTTTTATAGGAAAATCGCTATTCAAACACACATATATTGATTATCTGATACCTAATTCTGAGAAACATGCAAGCTTAGATGCATTTTTAAAATCGCAGGAAATCAGGGTTGCCGATTTGTTGAGATCAGAGTTAAATGAAAAGAGATCAATTAAGACCAACATGTTTGTAGTGTGTGCTTATATTAACCCGCTTGATGTGACTAAGGATGCGAATTTCAAAACTACAAATTCTTTATTACTTCATGAAACTGATATTCATGATCATATTAAGTCTCAATTCAATAGTTTAATGTTGGAAAGTGAACAATATTCATTTATGGGATCAGGTTTCTCATTTAACATGGTTAAATGCCTCGAGATAAGGATTTCAAAATATCGCTTCATTCCAGATAAATGAATTGCATATATAACTGTAATGCTAATTTTTGGAATTAATAAACAAAATTCAAAATTAAATAAATTGTTTTTGTTATACAAAACCTCATCGTTTACACCCGCGCGGCGCCCAATACACCGTCGAGGCGGCCGCCTTGCTGACGACCGCGCGCCCTCTCGTTTGGGGGGGGGGGGGGTTGGCGGCACCCTGCCCACGTACCTGACACCCAGGTGTCATGGCCGCCCTTTTGCCCATATGTATGACGTCATGCCCATTTGGTATATGCCCATGTATGACGTCATGCCCATTTGGTATATGCCCATGTATGACGTCATGCCCATTTGGTATATGCCCATGTATGACGTCATGCCCATTTGGTATATGCCCATGTATGACGTCATGCCCATGTATTTAGTACATGGGTATGTACCGGATGTAAATCTGTGGTTCAAACCGTGTTTACTCCCTACTAAAAGCGTCCAGTTTGGCAGCGAACCAAGTGCTGACATTTTGAAGAAGAAAAAAAAACGGATTAAATCTTACGATTAGCTTTGTCACAAATGAAATGAACCTTTTTCTAGCTCTGCGAATTCTATGGGAAAAATCTCCGTGGGGGCAACAATGAGATTCAAATTGTGGGAAGACCGCTCGTGTTTATTAGGCAGTGTATAGAATGTCCTACCCGTTATGCAAGTTTTGAATAGATGTATTTTTATATAAAGAGAAGCTATTCCGCTCAGAAGCTAATCTCCTTCTTCTCACTCGCGGCATGCAGATTGGTTTCTGCTCGCGAAACGGCCTCAAGCAGAAATTCTGCATTTTATTGCTAATGAAGCTCTTCCACGACATGTACCATAATCACCCTGTGGAAAGCCAACTGACGAGCTGTTTGTTTATTTTCTAGGATAATTATATCAATTAAGCTTGACGCGCATCTCTGCAGAGTGTTAAGGAGTGCCTCTCACTCAGCGGAACTTCATTTTAGGATTTAGAAAGAATATTAAAAAGCAGATTTATTCACTGTTATAAATGAATAATTATCTCCACCTGTTGTATTCGTTTCTGTAAAGAGTTTTAAATATAGCATAACATTTAATGTTGTTAACTTTATTTTTATATTATAGATAATTTTGCGCTTAATTAACACAATTACTTGCATGGACCAGTTTTGTTTTCTTCTTCTTTTTACTCAAGTCCCATTTGCCAATAGCAAATTACAAACAAATAAATATCATTTAATATTTGTCAAATAATTGATTATTTAACAATTTAAGTTAGTTTTAGTTCTATTGTAAGTTTATAGAGGAAATTTTTATGATCATTTCATGAATATCTGTAGCTTGACTAATTTATTTGATTAATTAAAACAAAGTGTATAAATATAATTATATGATTAAATTTATTTTATTTTATATGCAACATGATTCAAATTATCGAGGCATTAAAAAACGTATTTGAGTTTTTTATCTAAAATAATTGCTGTATAGAATTCGGTAATTGGTTAATTTATATTATGAATTGTTAAGTTGAAATTAAGTTGAAATCGTCATGCTTGATAACTATGCATGTTTTCCGATTGGAGTCTTACGCACGAAAATCTGAATTATCAACAATTAAAATTGTTATGCCTGATTGTGATTATAGAGCTACAGCCCAAAGAAAAATTAATCCGCATTACAGGTTTTTTAATATAATACAGCCGAATACAGCTATAATTATTGGACAGAAGGCTGGGATTTGACCATCATTATTTGCTTTTTTGATATTTTAATGTAAACACGGTTCAAAGTTCTTAACTTTTAACGCAATCAAGTTTAATTATAGGAAGAAATTTTTGTTATTAAATACAAAATTGTGTTTAACCGCACAAGATATTGGTGGGAAAATATACAACTCTTTATAACTATTGAGAAAAAAAATTGGATTAAAAAAGATAATAAAAAACGTGTTGATTGAAAAGTGGCAGAAAAGTTCTAGTCATGCCAATTTCCAGGCACCCGTTCAATTCGAGCGTTGCAAATTGATGCGGACGGCAGCACAAATCTTTTGACAGCAACATTATTATTTTTCGACTCGCGCTGTTTACATGGCGATTTAATGCACTTTTCGCCACGCTCCGTCTAGTTCTTCACTTCAACGCGGTTTACTTTCATTTTTTTCTTGGGCCAACAAAACCGACAAAGCCGCGGATTTCAATCTGCACAAGCGCGTGCGTCTCACTCGAAGGTGACCTCTGCAAAGGTCCAGGTGGGTTTTGGCCGCGGCAAAGGTCGTCGACCCCGAGTGTGTCTGCTGACCGCGAGTTACACCAGTGGCAGAGAGACGCAGCTGAATGAACACGTCGGCCATTCAGCACACCGCCAATTATCGCGAACTCACACAAACTGCAGCCGACACAAGAAATAAAATCGTGTGCGGTCATAAAGGCGCGATTTTATCTCTCGGACACACTTCGCTCATCGACATTCATAAAACATATTGATGTGGTTCAACAGCCCAACCTTTAGCAAAGCACATTTTATTGCAGTCAAATTTTTTATTGCAATTTGCAAAGTGCTCAAAAGCAGAGTGCAAAAAACGTAATTGAAATTTGATGTTTTTCGTATGTGCGCACGTGCTAAATTAAAGAGTTAAGATGAGTTGAAAAACCTTTGAGATAAAGTTTTAGATTTGATTTACTAGTGTAATTTATTTCTTTATTTGCCTATATCTTGTACCGAGAAATTTCTCGCTTGGATGATTTTACAATAATCATTTTCCTTTACTTTATTTATTATGGCTGCCTTTCACACCTTGTTGGAAAATTGAAGGAAATAAAAAAAGGTGACGTACATACCTACACATTTAATTTATTTATTAAAATGATAAATCGCATTAAAGCTTCTCCGGGAATAATTTTTAATTAAACAATAAATTCTTATGCACTCTTGTAAAATGAGAACTGAATTTAAAAATTATAAAATAAATTTCTCCTGCAAGCCAGCTGCAAGGCTTCAGATTTTTTAAAAAAGAATTGTTATTAAATAAGAGTCGATTACTTGGAGGAATATATCTCATTGATAGAATAATTCTTAAGATTTGAAATAAATAAAAAAGGTTTTATCAAAAATTTGTAATATATATTAGAAGGTCATAGAAGTTTGGACAATTGAGATTCAATTTAAGTTTTAGCTGTATTAATTATATGCATTGTTCATGTGAGCGTTGTCAAATTTATTTGTTTAAGCTTTCAGTCTAATTAAAACTATAAATAAAATAATTATGCTTATATGCATATTTGGACAAACATCAAATTAAAAATTATAAATATGAAAATATAAAAAAAAAATTAATAAAAAATATTTTATTTTTAAATTAAACTTAAAATAACTTGAAAAACTTTAAATTAAATAATTTTTAGTTTACTAAAATAATGCAGTTGCATTAAAAATGTTTTGTTACTAAATTAAAAGAATTTGCAACCTAAATATACAGTTAGGTAAACAGATGAAGAGGAGGGAAGAACAACATAACTATTTACTTGCATTTTTATGCATCACCAATTTGTTCCATTGCTATGTGCGAACAAATTTACAACCTAACCAAGTCCGGGGGCTGAATTGCCCTTGTAATAAAACCATTAAACATTTGTGGAATGCGATAAATTTCCAGCTTAACAACCCATCCAATTAGAAATTATATCGATAAACACTCTTATTGTATCATAAATAAAAATAATTCTTTTATGTGTGTGATTGCAGTCGATCCATTGTTTTCATCTCGCCTTCGTGGCCCATGTTTTTCCCCATGATGGAGATGCCCCAGGCCGAACTCGGTCCCCAATCAAGATCCCCAGACGCACAAACCAACACATTGGGGTAGGAAAATTATGTAAACAAATATTGGTACTCACCCGCATGCGATTCAGGTCGCCTCAGCCCCAGCCGATGCAGACGTTCATCCCCGTGTCGATCTTCGTCTACGACCCAAGCCGTCAAGTGGCGAGCACGATTCAGGGCTACGTCACTCAAGCGGTGGGATTTCTGACGAACCGCGTGACGAGCGCAGTTTCCGGCGTCCTGCCCCAGCTGCCGGTCACCATCAACATCCCCGACATCTTCAACGGGGTGGCCAACAGGGTGACCGCCGTGTCGACGGCGGTGCAGACCGCATGGCAAAACAGACCTGCCAACAACCCGACGGCCGTCGACCCTCTTCCTGACAGGCTGCCCAACCCCGACGATGAGCTCATCATCTGATTTCAAAAGTTTGTTTATTTCGTGCTCTCTCGCGCTTTTATTTTCGCCGCGGATGAGAAAGAGATGTGGACTGGAGATAAATGCTTTCGTTTTGCGCTCTAATCGAATGAAAGGTCAGTGATGAATCGCTAGTTTTTGTATAACGTGTCGAATTCTGTTGCTTCTCTCTGCTTTTATTTATTTTTTAATGTTATGTTTCCGTTTTCGATGTGAATAAAAATTGACTACTGCGATTCATGGGTGGGCCGTACATTTTGCAGCATGAAATATTGATGCCAAAATTGTTTACATTGTTTGAAATGAAATATCACTGCGTGCAAAGGTACAAGTCACGAACGACTCTCTTGCAGATTATCATTTTTTATAATCGTAAAATGTGCAGTTGATACGAAAGCTGCACGATACATAAAATTGAGAACAAAAAAAAGCTGAGTTTATTTCATTTAAACTTTTTCCAACTTGACAAAAATTCAAATGAACATGATGAGAAGAAACAAATTTTGCTGGGAATTTTCTTTTTAAACTTTATTCATTGTCCCCAACTAAACCTTCAAATACTAACAATGCTCATTTGAAATAAATTAAAATTTAAACAATTTAATTCATTTATTTGAAGAACTTAACACTAGAGGAGATGATCGTGGAAATGAAAAGATCGGGCTCTTTCCTCGTTGCAGAAATGGTTTTTTGTTCCATATGTTTTTTTTTAATTTTGAATAAATAACAATCATTTTCGGCAAAAAGGACCTTTTCATTTCCAATCTACTGCATAATAAATTTTAAGGAATTTGTTAAAAAAAAACTTGAATTCATGCTTTTGTGAATTTGGAGGATTTTGCATTTTCAAACAAATTAGTGTATTGAATGACGATTTGCATAAACCTTTTTGAGTAGCCGAATCAACATCGCTGGACGGTTGAACAAAGAAGGTGTGGAGTGAAAGACACCTTTCAATTTAAAAACTCGAAGCTTTTATCTTCTGCCGACCCTTGGTACCAAAGCGTCACTTTTTATCCTTCTCATTTCCATGAAATTTGGTTGAATAAACCGTCTGACTTGCGTATTTCAAAGCAATCTCAGCGGTCCATTGGTATGTTAAAAGCACAAGACACAAGAGAAATAAGAGCTGCATTTAAAGCAGCGTGACAATGCAACGGAAAAAAAATTGGAGAGGTGGCCATCAGCCGCGTTGTGTCGCTTTTGTCTCCTTTTGCCGACGATTTGTCAAAAAATGGGCAAAAAGCTGAGATTTATTGCTTTCCGCTTCAGCTAAATGCGTGTGCGAAAAACTTTTGCATTCAATCAAAGTCATACTTAAGGTAATATAAAGACAGACGGCCCATTATTTGTACTTTTTTGTCCAGAACGGCGAACAGCGGAGTCGTTTAGGTGTACAAGTTTACGTGAATTAGCCTTTTTGGTTGCGTGTGATTGAAAAGCCTTTGTGTTTTGACTGAATTTCATGCGAGACCTGAATAAGGGCAGCTATAAAATATTTTTAGTTACGATCGTTTGAAAATAATTTAATTTCATTTATTTCACTTCACTTTATTTTGAAAGTGTATTTTATTTTAGAACATACTCGTAATAAACTTGTGAAAATTTAGTGTCGTAATCAGACTGCCAACTATACCAAGCAGGTTTTATGAGTTCTGGGAAGGGGATATTTTCGCATATTGTAAAATTTGTTTGCAAAACATTATGTTGAAATGACTTCCTTTTGTAATTATCCACATTCATTCATTTAAAGACTGGAGATGTGATTAATTAAATTCTATAGCAGTTCAAATTCCTTTTAGAGAAGGCAATTCTTTCTTTGACAAAAACACATAATTTAGATTTTTATCGTCATTTAATTTATTAGTTTGAGAGTTTTTGCTACATTCAGCGTGACAATATTTTTATTTTCTAGGTCTCCTGCTGTGTCCCGTTTAAATTAATTGATCCGCGAATTTTTTTGCACTTGTAAAAAGTCCTGCACAAAATCGTGCGTCGTCTTGCTATTAAAGCGTTGATACCAAACTCCGAAGCGTGAGAGGTGTCGAGTATCATTCGTTGCGTGCAGGAAAAACAATCTTCTCTCAATCGAGTGCAACCTCAGGATCGCTCGGTCAGTTTTCCGCTACGTTTATAAAGATATGCATAAACACCGCTCACTTTTTAATTTTAAAAGAGTCCATTACAAAATCCCCGCAGCACTAACACGCCCTGCTTATATTTATTTAAAACTATAACGTGCCATAATTTTTTCCCACATTTTATAAAGTCTTTTTTTCGTAATCACTTGTGTGTGTGTGCTTAAGTATGGCAAGAAGGAATCTGCGTGTGCTTTTTGTACTCGATTCAAGTCGTCATCCAATTAGTGTCCGCAGTAAAAAATGGCCGATTAATGTCTGCATAATAATAAAAACGTGCATTTAATTTATTCACCTTCAGAGCGTATCAGATTTCAACATAATTTTTATGTAATAAAAAAAATGCACTCGTCTCAGATTCACTTAGAAATCAGCCATTTTTTTTCATCGATTTTGCAATTGAGCACTATTAATCAGTTGGCCTCGACATAGACGGGCTTGGTCTGGTGGTCGGACACCCTTTGTTGGGGCGAAACTTGCGTGTCATGCACGGCGGCCACTGGCACGGCTCCAAAGAAATTCGCCTTCTGCGAGATCGAGGCTGGCGGGATCGCCTGCTGCTCTTTATTATTCGGCGGCTCTGCGTGCACGGGCAGAGGGACCAGCGCCGATCTGGTGCTCGCGATCTCGTCCGATTGAGGTGCCACACCCACAAACACCGGCACCGTTTGCCCACCGTACGACGACGGGAAAGCGCCCAAGGGAACGGGATTCCTCTCCTCCGACTTGAGACTCTTGCCTGCGCGGTGCAGGTGCTGCAGCTCACGCAAACTCGGGGCCGAGTACGCCGAGAGCAGGGGCGCGGGGGCCCCGGCAGCCCTCCTCAGGTGCTGCTGCTCGCTCAAGGGCGTGCCATAAGTGTTGAACCTGGACGCATAGGTCATGGGCACAGTGCCCTTGGCGGCGCCGTAGTACTCGAGGTCCTCCTCCACCCCCTTGACGCCCTCGCTCACGGTGTAGATGCTGTCCGGAGGGTGGATTTTGTCGTCAGGGTCGTTGTACTGCTCCTGAGCTTCATCCTGCTTCTCAGGTTGGGCGGGTTGAACTGGCTGGACGGGCAAGGGCACGGGATGAACGACCTGGAGAGGGTCTTCGTAGGATTCAGGCTGCTCGGCCAGCCACTTGGCCTGCTGATAGAGACGGGCGTGCAGAGACTTGGCGGCCTCCACTTCTGGCGTGTCCTTGACCTGTTTGGGAATGACACTGAAGGCCTCGTCTTCGTCAAAAACTTGGAATCCGTCCCTGCCGGCCGAGTACCTGACCTTAACGGTTTTACCTTCAGGGTCGATGTAGCTGTAGGAGCCTCGAACGGAGCCGTCCAGAGATCTGGCCTCGAGACGGGCCTGCTGAGGACTGCTGTAGCCGAAGAGGATGTTTCCGTTTCCGTCCTGAGACTGGAAAAGAGTCCCTTCAGACTCTTCGTCAGAGGAAACGGATGTGTAGGATCCAGGGTGAGGACCCTGGGTGAAGGTTGAAGGTGGGGCATCGTTGGCGAATCCGTCCTGAGAGTATCCCTCCTGAGGAGGGTAGACGTTGCCGAGGTGGACGCCGTGGGACACCACGTCAGGGGAGGTTCTATAAATCAGTCCAGGTGCGATTTGGGAGGCGTCGAGCACATATTTGGGGTTGATGGACCCCGATGGGGGTGCAGGGGCGGCTTCAACGACGGTGGCGTCATCTGAGACTTCGTTTCGCAGGTAGTTGCTTCTCAGGGTGGGTTTGGCGACCACATCCGAGCCGGGGGTCACGGTTTGGTGATAGGCAGGGTAGGACTGGGGTGCATAGTAACTTGGGGTGGGCACGTAAGGGTGGAACGGAGAACGGAAATAAGGGGAGGGCGGTTGAAAGTAGAACACGGCAGGGTGGTGATAAGCGCTGTCATAGTAGGTGGGTGTGGAGTATGCGCTGCTTACAAGGTGAACCTGTGGATAATAAGAAAATGCGAGAAGGTATAAATGAGAGCGGGAGCTGATAATAAATATACAAAATGATGGCTCGACTTGTTGTTATTTCTTTATGCTATACACGACAGGTGCAACAAAACGAGGTAAATTTAATTTTAAATCAAACCCCTGCACGCAGCGTTGAAATAATGTAAAAAATGAAAATTATGTGTGCTTGTAAAGAGTCCTCAAAAGTCTCCGCTCACACATTCCGAGATTAATAATGATCTCGTTAAACTTGAAACACGCCCGGGCGAGCCGAGTCGCGTCACGTACAACGCGAAAAAAAAAGAAGTGTATAACCTTAAAAAATTCATTGGAATAATATTTAGGAAATTAAAATTAAGAGATTGAATTATATAGTTAATTGAGGATGAGTTAATTAATTTGAGATGGAGAGATAGGCGTCGTCTAGGTGTCGTGATTAACGAACGAACGCGCGGCGCGAGCGATAATCTTTCTTTACTTACGAGGAGCAGCGCGTGGCGAAACATGGTGTGGTCAAAGAAGTAGTGTCGCGAGGCGGGGAGGATCAGGGCATTTATAGCAGAGCGCCCCTGAAACCATCGGCGCGAGGTGAGCCTGCCGCTGCCGCTGCTCTGCTGGTGCCTCGGCAGCCAGTCAGTCCGGCTATCAGGTCAAACGGCGAAACACTCGCCAGCTAATTGGAGCGATTGATAACACGTCGATCAGCGATCGACACGCGAGAGGAAATAATAATCAAGCTGCTTTTGCGACTCAACTCGCAGCTGCCGTGTTGATATTATGCGGCGCAACACGCGTGATGAGCGTGGAATTCGCTTGAAATATCCAATCAAGCTGCGGTGGTGGCGGAAGATGATCCTAGTTTTGCAACGCAAGTTGTGGGTGCTCTTCGTAAACAATTGTAAATAAATGAGTCACCGAAATTTATGCGGTTTATTACTCCATTCTATTTGTGACCCTTTGTTCTTTGATTGCAAATTGCATCACGCATATAAAGATTTTTTTTTTATTTTGAGTGGAGGGAATTGTTTAATTTTTATATTTACAGTTTCGTTAAAAAAAGGAATATGAATGATGAAATTCATAAAAATAAAATAGAGGCTCACTGTGGCCCTTTTTGATAAAAAAAGTTTTAGCAAAATTCTTGCAACTTGCAATTAAAAGTGCCGTTTTTGTAAAAAAAAATTTTTTTATTAATTTTTATAAAGTAGATAAAAACAACGCAACTCTAGATCTTGAAAAAAAAAATAATATACATTAATCAGAATTAAGTCAGATAAATATTTACATACTTTTTTTACATTTAGTTTTTTTAATTAAAAGTTTAAATATACTAGGATAAGAATTTTGAATAATAAACATTTTAAAAATATATAATACATTATAATTTTGATATATATTAATTTTATAAATTATACAAACTTCTCCTGTAACAAACTAGTCTGAAAAAAAAATGACAATTTTCTCATTGCTTACAATTCAATTCAATTTGTTTTATTCTCTACATAAAGAGCCAAAATTAAAAAAAAAAAAATAAAAAAAATAGGCAAGTCATAAAATTACATTTGTAGAGTAGCTTTAGCATTAGAGTCATCGGAGCAGATACAAATTTATTTATTTCAACTGTAGAGAATTAAAAAAAACATTAATTAAGATTAATTTTAATCCTTCATAAGTCAAAAGTATATCAAATTCAATTATTAACTTGCTGAGAGGAGATAAAAAATTTAAAATAAATGTTCTTGTGAAATGCTAATTTTTCTCTCCTCAAGTTTGCATTTTGCTTTTTATCAGATTCCGTTGCAGCGAAAGGTGCATATGTTGCTTCCAAGTCGAGAAATAAATAATTTTCAAGAGGAAGGTCGGCGAATTTCAGCTCCCAACACGATCGATGCTTTGCTTCTTCCCAAAAAAATAAAAGAGTTGCATCGTAATTAAAAACAGCAGCGTAATTAACACGAGTGGCTTTTAGTGCGGGCTCATCTCGTCACGACAAGATTCGGACCAAAGTGCACCACAGGCAGTTTAATTAATTCAATTAAAATGCGCCGGCGACACGGGCGTTTTGTTGTTGCTGTGTGTTAATTGCACTTTATAAAGTAATGTGATAACCTCGGCCGGTGTTTTGCTTCGGATAATGTCAACTCACAAATCTCTCAGTGATCGCAGCGTCACTGCTGGCGTCCACACCCTTTTCGAACAATTAAAAGCACAACCAGAGAGAGAGAGACATGCACGCTGGGTTTTTCTCCTCTTTTTTTGAATGTAGTTCAAGGCAAAACGATCATATGCACCACCCACGACAAAACATACTGCAGCAATTTATATAAATATCAGAATGCATTTTCACTCTTCGCTTCCTCATATTCAAATTAATCCGCCACTTAAGCGCTTTTCACCGGGAGCCGCACCGCACAGTGGCAACCCTTTTTAAAGAAAACGACCGCTCAATAAATATCCAACATGTGTGTAAGCGAATACAGTTGTGCGAGTGGACAGAGCCATTAATTTTGAGCTGCAGCACGAGTAGGTGCGGTACCCAAGCTGGAAAAAAAACACGAATAAAGAGGCGGTACACGCATTTGCATCTCTCTCTTTGGCTCGCGGTGGAGGAAAATATGCATAAGCCGCGGCGGCGGCGGCGAAATTAATACAAATGCGGAGCGAAAGGAGGTATGATTATAAATTCAAGTCGTCTGCCGTTGCTGCTGCTGCTGCTGTTATAGGTAAATGAATTGTTTGACGGCCGTTTGTTGTTATTGGTCTCATTCAAGGTTAAGACAAAGCACAAAGGCTCTGACATTTTTATTGTCGCAACAAAAGACGACAGGTCTTTAACGTTAAAAGTACAAATCAAACATGAAAATTTGCTTTTGCCATAAAAAGCAGCGGCGGCGCGCAGCACATCCCGAGAAAACCTCAAAGCCCGCCTTTTTGCACGTCCCGTCCGGCGACGACGCGCATTGTGTGTGCTCGCATAGCCGCGCCGCAGTCCCATTATTTAAAAATAAAAAAATAAAAATATCAACTGTGTACGTGTACCTGGGTTTTATGGCGCGTCGCGCCCGACAGAGTGAGCAAATAACGAGTCATATTAAATATATTTTGCCATTTTACGGCGCGCACTTTGCGCCTTTGACACGCTCGATCAGAATTTTATCGAGTGTGCGATACAAATTGCACCTTCGAAGCCTTTTATGATCATGAGAGGTGTCGGCTATCCTATTTAAAACGTTTCACCAAGAATTCAGTGGCGTGGCAATTTGGAAAGCTAATGATGTTTCGCAGTTCATTTTGATGTGAACTGGCCCTACAGTTAAAATGCAAAATTATATCCACAAAAACGGGTTTCCGCGAGCTCATTTTGATAATATCTAAATTTCGTATAAAACAGTTCAATGAACACATACATACATAACTATTTGATAATTTATCTCATTCAAATTTTAAATTATTGTCTTAAATTTCAATTTTATTAAAAGCTCGTTCCCATGTAAAGAAGCCAAACTTAAATTTTTATAAATGCTATAGATAATTCCAAAGACGCAGATTAATTTTTAGCTTTACAAGTAATAATGGCTCAAAGTGATGCAATAATTTATAACAGTCACTTCGCCTCCCTTAAAATTACTTCACTTACAGAAGTCAGGACGCGAACGTTCTGAATATAATGTGTGTCTAATCAAATAATTATCATCGCGAGGTCTCTCCTTCTTAAAATACAAAAGTGTAGCCTAACTTGGCAAAAACTATTCCGAGACCACACCCAGCATTCAATTTAAAGACCCGCTACATTCTCCGTTGATGCTGCTCCACAAAAAATTATATAAGAACAAGCTGCCACCAATGCAGATATATATGTAAAAAAGAACGCACTTCGGCGTGGAGATAAAATAAAGGGAACAAGAAGAAGCTGGTTTGGTTGGCTGATTATAACCGAAACGGATTTCAATCGAGAGACTTCCTCTCTTTTCTAGGCGGAGAGGATGGATAAAAGGTCTTGAGGATACACATTTTTTATAATAATAATTTAATTAACTGGACATAATTGCTAGGCAAGGCAGGAGTTTCCCTTTTGTTATCTCTGCTTTTAATTTATCGCTTTCAGAAATATTTCTCTAAGTCAATGCCTCCTATGATTCTTTAAGTGTGTCCCTGACAATTAATCAAGCAGCGAATTCTTTAATTGCAAACAAGTCTGGCTAATGAGCGGAATGATAAAAAGGATGGTGATTGAGATGACTTTAAGCGCCAATAAAAATATACGGCACCCAACGTGGGCCGCTTTCACACTTGCCAACAGAAATGAATCAGTAATTTATACATAAACCTTCGATTCCATTCGAAACACGATTAATAAATCCCTGTGTAATTTATGCGGCGAGTGAGAAATAAATCTTAATTAAAATGAATTATGCGATTCATTGAGTGCTCATGCAAGTAGTGCATGGAAATATCAATATGCAAATCCTCTAGTGTCAACTGACTCGCATTATTGTTGGAGCAGCGCAACGTGGCCACCCACAGAAGTCACAGAAATATTTAATTCCCAAGAAAAGCAACTGAAACTGATGAATAATTAGCAGTCCAAGTGTGAGGAAATATTTTAGCGGGAGGGCAAAACCCGCATACATATGGCTGCATTATTTTCATCTACTCTGCTAATCGCAAGGATTTATCGGCCGCCAATATTATAAATTATGCATTATTCATCGCTGCAGCCGATCTAGAGAGCGGTGCATTCGAAATGATACGCGGTGCATGCAAATCCCGCCAGCGGCATTAAATTTATTTGCTCTATTGTACCATCGGAGAATTCTGTAACACACTCCGTTTTTTTGCATGCGCTTTTTATTGGTCTCTGTTCACTTCGCAGAGCACGTTTGTGCAGGAAATGGGCGCACCTGCACTTGACACAGAGAGGTGCTTGGCTTTTTTTTATAGATAGTTGAATCCCTGTACTATAACAATACCGATAAACCTTCCTCCGACCACATGGATCACACCCACAGAAGCTGCTGGAAACAAATTGCAGTGCATTTTATTGGTCTTATCCTGCTGCAGTGTCGATGCGTCACTGCAATTTGAATAAGCTGACAATGAACGCACTTGACGCCGAGTCAGCTCAAGACGGTTGCTTACTCAAAACGATTGTTTTATAAATTTTAGTTTATAAAACATACACAGTTTAAATAATTTATATTTAAAACTAATTTTAACTTAATCATTTTCCCTTATTCACAAGAGGTTAAGTTTTTTGGTATGTACTATTATATAATAATAATTAAATTTCCAAAGTTCAAGAACTAAAAATGCAGATATTAGAAACAATTATTTAATTTATAATAAATTACTTTCAGTTGCTGTTTTAATAAAAAATATAATAAATTTTTTTTTTTTTTACTATTTTAATTGAAAGAAGTTTCAATTCCAACATGAAATAAAAAATTGAAAAAAGATATTAAAAAAATTAAAATAAATACCGATAAATACTTTAAATATTAATACAGAAGAAAAATTCGAAATCAATCATAACTTTAAAAAAATATTATTATATTTTTTTGTATACTATTTTTTAATTAAATTCTTTTCAAATTAGCACATTTAACATTTCCCACCCTGGTTTTTGCATTATTATTCTAAA